ATACGCCTATATATATATATGCTTCTGTGCCTATATATATATATAGGCACAGAAATATCCGCTATGCTACGATCTCAAAGTTTCGAGCTGGATTGAATAACTTCAACGAGCACAGTATCTCCTAAGGCATTGTTACTGATTTCTTCACTAGTCGAAATAGTGGCGATGACGGGTTAGGCGATTGAATGAACTTTTTGTTAAGACAAAACAAAACAGATTTAGCGACAGTGATGCATGATTTTACAAGATGATTTTACAAGAAAAAGTTAAAGCATGATTTTACAAGAAATCCTGCAGTTTTTTAATGTGAATCATCAAAAACATTTGCTGAGATTGTTTCCTTAGAGTTATTATAGAAGTGCTTTTATTATTTTGCCATATACCTTCATCTAAAATATATTGATCATTATATATCATTATATCACTACATTGTATCTAGATTTATATGTGGGGTAATTCAAAACTTGAGGAACAAATTTCTGGAAGAAATGAGGTACACTTAAAAACGACTAAGAATCAGTTATCAAAATGCTGGGTCAGATAAAAATCAATCCTAACGAGACTGTTAGAGGCAATCGCAAGTGTTTTAGGAAGGAAAATATGAATTCATCATGATCACGAATTAACATTTAAAAACTATACAAATATATCCAGACATTCCTGACGATAATACTTTTTAATTTATCTGATATTTTGTAACGTAGCATAATAAGGCATAGACTCTAGAACGTTTTTAAATGTTCTGACGGCGTTATGAAATGGAACATATTCATTGCCATCATCAAAGTCCGGCGAATGCAAAGCTGTAATACAAAACGTTCGAGATTCCATACAGTGCCCACATTATGAACCTTAGGAGGACAACTTTACTTGCAAGAAAGTAATGACTACCTATGATTTATAACTGTCAATCAGTGACCATGATAGATCTACATTTTCCATCCAAAAATCTATTCGACTTTAAAATGAATTCAATCAGGCCAGCGTTTCAATCAAGCCAGTTCAATAAGACACACTATTAATCCCTGAAACTCTCAAAATGGGTTTTGTTTTCTTAGCGATCGGGAAAAATGATATTCCAGTGACTTTGTTTAATGCGAAATTCTGGTCTCATAGCCTGTAACAATTGTGACTGAATTTTCAGTTCATCAATAATTCCTTCCTATTCTTATTTTCCAGCGCAGCTCTTATTTTTGTTTTCTGAGTTTGTTTGATGGTTGTTTTCAGCTTTCGTTCGTGTATCAAAATACCATCTAGTGCACACTTTTTGGTTCGATAGCCCACATCACCACTATCAGTTTCATAAAGTATTGTTCTTGAAATTTCAAGAAAGAAGAAGATCAATCCGTCAGTCAAGAAGCGTTTAATCCTTTATCTTGTCAAACTTTATCAATTATTGTTATGAATCAGTCATAAACTGAAATCGATCTGTTTATTATTCGTCATGAATAAAAATTCTTACACCATTCAACATGAATCCTCCTTTTTGAGCTGTTTACATTTCCGTTGTTGTTGTTTCTAATGTCACTTGTCAATATCAGCAAGCCTGCTTGGTGACACCAAGCGAATTTAAGTCAGAGGGTGAATTTCATGTTTTTCAGTGTGGCTCTCTATGGCCGAAAATACTTCAGCCACACATACGTCACAGCCTGTTTATAGGGGACACCCATTCATTCATTCACAGATCGTAATTGTGACCTGAAATAGAGAACGATCAATCTCCGATTCAGTAGGGGAGAGTGGGGTCAATTGTAACAGGGTACGATTGTAACAGAGCAAAAATTTCGAGTGTCGGGTTCTAGATTTGGTTCCTAGGTGGCGCACAAGGTGTATTTAATAAATCTACATGTACACCCCTGATGGCAATCATTTTTATGTACTTTTGAAAGAGTTAGATCACAAAAGATATTTTCACGCCACGCAAGTACTTTTTTTGGTATTAGAATATTATATTGTAACAAAGTAATTTTGTTTAAACAAATAAAAATTAGTAACCGAATATGTAAGTGGACACCTTAATTAACATTTCAATAAAAAAAAGATTAGTTTTGCTAATTAACTAGCATTGTTTTTAACAAATGAAGCTGAAATGGCGTCTTGGGGACAATTGTAACAATAAGTAAAGGGACGATTGTAACAGCTGAAAATAAATAATCTTATGTTTACAAACCATTACTTAACTCTTTAAGAACCACCAATAGTTTCCTATATCATTTATATTATGTTGCATGTGCATTATTTTATTTGTCACCTTTCACAGCATAAATTAAAATTTTTAACCCCTTAAAGTTAAAAGTTTAACCCTTTAGGTCTCTGCTCATTATTATTTTTACTCCTAAAATATCACTACTATTTTGATCAATAAAAAAATATATCACAACTATGATAATATGTATAATTAACTATGTTTTAGTTGAATTTATGAACTGTTACAATTGACCCCGTAAGTTGGGACAATTGTAAGTTGGGACAAGTGCACGACTGTCAAAAACTGTTAATAACTAATATAATAACATTTAAAATAAGGTATTTATTTTTTTTCTAGTAGAGGATAGTCTACTTTATTCGTCTGTCAATTAATACTAATAATATATTGGATTTTTTGTTAGTTAAAAATAGTTAAGTAAAAAATGTTACAATTGACCCCTCTCTCCCCTACCCCCAAAAGTATAATTTCTTATGGGAACATGGAGGACTTTATGACCCGACAGATTCAACGTGCACCAGTCACCATTTACTACACGGGGAATATTCAGCCGGCGGGCATCGAACTCGCGACCTCTCGGACATGGACCCCTTATCTTCACTTACCCGTCTGAAAATTTTAATGGACTGTTTTTTTCTTCTTCATTCATTCAGAAAGCATATTATACCGAAAATATCACGTCACACTGAAAAAAAACTTGCCACAAACCAAAGCTACAACTCATAATCAAACCAATTCTAAGTACCATAAATATTATGGCTTCAGTGTTTTGGGTTCAAAACTACGTTTCTCCCATCTACCTCGCACTTGGTGAGATCAAAAATATTATCACACATTTTAAGATCGCACAAATAATCAGAAAACAGTCGCAGCTGCTCTTTTGAGTAAGACTAGTACAAACATGGAGCCTTTGAGCAACCATAGGGGAAATTTGGTATCGTGGGAGGAGAAAACATACCCAACTCATCTCAGTTGCCCAGCCAGCAGCGGAAGTATATTTTGATAAAATTGACCCTACACAGAGGATTATTTGACAAAATATCTCTTAAACAAACCAAAGCATTCCCTCGTGAATTCTTATAACTATTTTAGTCGTAACTCTTCTTAAGCAACTAAAGTTAGAACAAAATTTATGAATGGTAATTACACACCAAAAAATTTTCAATACACCAACTGTAATTTCATATAAAATTTAGAATTAAATAATTCAGAAGGATACATAATGTCACTTTTAGAAACACACTCAAAAGAAATTTACCTATATATTCTTTTAAATAAAAATGATTTCATTGCTAAATTTTTCAAACCATAAAAACGAACCTATTAGTTTTATAAAATGTTTTCTTTCAACCCAATAGAAATTATTTCTATCCCATTTTTAAAGCCATTAGAGAAGCTCGAAGATAATTGCTCTGCGTTCACAGCGATATTTCATCAAGAAAAGGCTCTTAATTTGAGTGCACAACTTCTTGTGAAAGGAAGGGGGAGGCAGAAGATGAGATAGTAATTTGAGAACCAAGTTTCTTCTTGAAATAGGGCAAGGAATTCGCAACAAAAGTCTACTGCGATGGTGCAGATTAAAAAACCATAACCGCAACTACTCACGAATTGGCGCGCTCGCACAAAACTTCCATTTATAAAAACGAATCCCTAATCGCACATCCACTGGTAGCATTTTCTTCTTTCTTACCTGAAACCACTGGTCTTATTTTGATGATTCAGCTCTGTACATTACGCTTGTAAACTAATCAGGATTGGTCACGACTAACCCCGGGCTCCAAATAAAGAGGGAGGAGTCCACAGTTCTAAAGCTTGCCCACTACGCGGAAATACTTAAGGTTCATCTATGATTGTTGATGCTGTAGCATTTGCAAAAGGCATCAAACCCTTGCCAAGAATATGTTTGATGTAAAATCATGAAGATTGATTATGTGGTCCTAAAAGCAAAAAGCAAGCACGATTGTACCGCCTATTTAGTGTTCAGGACAATGATTTCCAATCCAACTTATTATTCGTTCTTGTACTGATAATCTAACAACAAAACATCATTTTAATGATTCGTATAAAGGTATTAAAAAAAAAGCATTTTATTGAGCCCGGCGTTCTCAGCCATTGCTGAAATAACGATTTTGGTAAACAACCGAGATCAGTACCTTTATTCTGACGAGATTAAACACTTTATTCTGGTGAGACAATGTGATTGAACGATGCAGGTCATGTTGAAGATAAACGCATCACTCACCAAGGTTTTGAACATCTTTTGAAAGCCATTATTAATCTGCATTGCTCTTTGACATTTTTCTATTTTAAGATGTCTTGAAATCATAGTATGAATAATTCAGAGCTCAATTTTAAAATCTCTATCATGAAGTATTGAAGTATTAAACAAATACAATGTTGGATTGATAAATTAGCAAATTTTAATAATAAGTATACTTTGTTGCGAAATTAACTGCTATTCCAGTTCAAACTTCAGCCGAGAAAGACATGTAGTAAAAGTATATGCTTGTAGACGAGTTTCGATATGAAACTGCTCTTTGGAAAAGGTATTTTATCTCGTTGCAATAATTTAGAAATATATTATGTATCTAAAAACATCACTCATCAAGCTTTTGAAAGATATTATTAATCTTCAATCCTACTTGACATTTTTTTAAATTTTTCAAGTAGTGTGGAAATAATAGTATGAATGATTCAAAGCCTTGCTCAATTGTAAAATCTCCGTCACGAGTGTTGAAGTCTTCAGCAATTTTATGTTGAGTTGATAAATTAACAAATTTAAACAATATTGTAGGAAGCGTATTCCTTACTTAATGCGCACGCACATCCTAACCTTTTAACTAAACAGTGGTTAGATGGTCATTCTTGTGATTCTTCCCGCGCAGCAAATGTGATTGAAGGCTGGCGATGCAGACGGCCTCCTCTTATATGTTAAATGTCCTGTATTATGTCCTATGTGTTAATAAATGTTTGTTAATTAAGTTATGCTCATTGCTTTTTCCCATAATATGCATTACGACGAAACCGCTATTCCAGCTTAAACTCATGTAAAGAAGGACATAAAAAAGTACACAAGTCTCTGAACAGGGAATTTCAATATGAAACTGCTCTTTGGGAAGGTGTTTCAAATCGTTGCGATAATGTAGAAATATAATTGTACGTCTAAGCTTGTCAGAAAATTTTTGCAAGTTTAAATTGAAATGGTGCTATTTATATATAGTGAGCATTAAAAAAAATAATAATAAACGGACCACCCTAAATAGCTTTTGATCTAATGATCGGATCTTTACGTTCTAGGACTCAATCTAAATAGTTCGAGATGACCCTCAATTATGCTAATTAATATAGATATTTTAATTTACGTAAAGAGACACAAAAATGTACTTTCTCTAAATAAACACATCCTTATTTCAAAGGATTCGTCTTTCTGATTTTCAAAATGTAGTCGCAACCTAAGAAATATGGTCGCATAGTTTGATCATAAGAGCGGTCCAAAGGTTGGACCCCTTAATGTTAATTTTACATTTTCGTATTTCACCATATCTCGAGAACTTTTTTAGCGAATTGAAAATTTTGTGCACACAATTATAAAATTCTTTTAACGAACGGAAATTCCACGCAAAATATAACTTTTAGTAACTATTTGTTACTTCACTTTATAAATGGTTCGAAAAAATTTTGAATTGTAAGGTGGAATTGTTTTAGAAGGTTTTAAAGAAAGTAATTTTAAATGGCAAAATTTGAGTGGTCGAATAGTTTATGAGAAATCGAATCTATAAAAATACGACTTTTTTAAAATAAAATTTCTCAGAAACTATTCTACCGACTACGCTCAAATTTTGTATTTTGCTATTTAAAATTGCATTTTTTTAAATGATATAGAAAACTGTACACCATAAAACTCAATGAGTTTTTTACTATTGTTAAAGAAAATAATAAATATTTACAGAAAATTATATTTTGCATGGAATTATCTTTGGATAAACGAATTAATATTTGTGTGCAAAAAATTTTAAAATTCGTTTAAAAAGTTCTCGAAACATGGTGAAATACGCAAAAAAGTAAAATTAACAATAAGGAGTCCAAACTTTTGGGTCCATATTTCCCAGATTGCGGCCACCCACTATATTTTGAGGGTCAGAAATCCGAATTCAGGAAAAGTACGTTTTTATGTCTGATTCCGTAACTCGAAAAATCGTCTGCACTAATTAATTAGCATATTTGAGGTCACCCTCTTGAACCTTTGAATTTGAATCTTGGAACGTAAAGATTCTATCATAAAATCAAAAATTATTAAAAGTATTCTTTTTTTTAATTTTTCGCACTACAGATTGATTTTTAATGAAATTTGGATATAAAAAGCCCTAAAAGAAGAGACTTAAGAATATTCTTTAATTTCTGGTTTTTAGTTTTCATTTATTAAATACCTGGAAAATTAATTAATGCTACTAAAATAAATTGTAATTATAAACTATTAAAAAAAACTGTCTTAATGTTTGATGCTCCTTTTACAAAAGAGTTGGAAGAAACCAATTCCTTTTGAGGCAATTTTTTCCACGGTGGAAGAAAGTTGTGATCCTTGACACTAATAGAATAAAATTTCGAAGATAACCAAGAACTGAGGTACAATTGACAATACATACTATTGGTATATATATATTTTAATAACATTAGTGAAAAAAATATATAAAAAATAACAAAACCTTTTAATTTAAGATGGTCGCTTTGTTATAAATTATACATTTAATTCCATGTTTCGTTATTTTTATTATTAAATAACAACTAAATAGTAATGCTTTAAACAAGTAGTTTCAGAAATGAAATGTTTTCTAGACCTGTTTAAAAGAATCATGATTTTTAATTCAAACAAATGAAAATGGGCAAAAACAAGCAAATATACTTAAAAATATTTATTATCAAAATCCAGGTGGGGGATGTTTACAAAGAAATTCTTTCAAGACTAAAGGATATAAGGCAAGAAACTTGAATCGTTCACCCATTTGATCTGGCATGGTGAGCATTTCATATCCAGACTTTAAGGACTTTACAGTTTCATTAGAGGCATTTTCTATTAATTTCTAAAATGAATAAATACAGACATTAGTAATTATTTTCAATTAATAGAGTTGATTGATTAAGATAAATTTATGAACATTGTTATAATTTCTTACTCTGTTCATTATAAATAAGACAGTGTGATTTTTCATAAATGGACTTTAATTATTAATTGCAATCGATTATCAAATAAATATTAATAATGTGAGTATAATTACTTGCTGCGAAGTGTTATGATTAGTTGATATACAATTTATTATGTTGTAAAAACAATCAATGACTCCATCTACTCCAAATTGAGTTTTTATTTTAATTGCTAGTTAAGAATTTTAGCATAACATACATATTTTTACACAAAAATGTTTTGTATATATGATGGGTTTAGGGAAACATAATGAGAAACCACACTGTTTCATTGGGTTGTATTCTTACAATGAACTTTTCTTTCATATAGTTTAAAAATAAACACTTTCAACTTTTCCATTAGAAAACAGCACAATTCTCAGAAATATCTTATTAAAAATAGTTGTTTTACCAAAAATACTCTATCCCAATCAATTTGAGTATGTGGCTTAGTATTAAATGAAAAAAAATTCAAACACAGCTCATCTTTTACCACATCATTCCTGGAACACTATTAATACAAATTATGGTGGCTCAGGGGATAGAGTCCTCGCCTCCCAATGAGGTTTTCCGGGTTTGATCCCAGCGATAGCAAGTCAATTCGAATTCTGCACCCGACCACAGTGCTGACGTAAAATATCCTCAGAGGTAGTTCTGCTAGCCCTTGCCGTTAGGCTAACCGAGGAAGGTTTTTCTGTTTTTTTTTCTCCATGTAACGCAAATGTGCTGTAGTTCCATCAGAAAATCCTCCATGAAGACAAACGACTCCCACTACTTGATCCAGGAGTTCTTTTGTCTTCTGAATTGGATTTAAAATTACAAGGGAACCGAGTTGAACATTAGTAGCCATAAGACCTAAATTGGGTCGTTTGTTCAACGACGGTAACATATATATATATACAGTCAAACTCCGCTATAGTGAACCTTCAAGGGACTGAAATTTTGCCGTCACTATAACCGGGAGTTCACTATATCCGTTAAGCAGGTAATTTAACCAATGGTTCCCTAACTCCTCCCTTTTATTGCACATTATTCAAATAAATGACTGAAAAATATTATGTAGTAGCAAAAAATGTGTTATTTTTCATTACTCTTCGTCTTGCGTGCAAAAAAAAAATTAGTAATATTTAGCTGATGGGCAATCCTCAACATCAGATATGGAAACACTTCCTGACTCTCAAATAATTTTTCCGGAATTTATGTTATTCCGCTTTTTAAACCTGTCTAACCAGCCATTCGAGAACATAAAAGTATTTTCATAAAATCGCTTAGAAAATTCATCGACATTTGTCCAGATATTGGAATATTGCAGCTTCTTCGAATGGTGAACCACTTCAGTAATGCTTCTTTAACATCCTTGTGATCTGCTTTTCTCATATTTTTTCTGCTATCTAAATTTTTTTCATGGGCAGAAATTATTAATTACCTATTTTTCTATATGTTACAAACTGCAGTTTATATTCTAATATAATAGTTTATATTCCCTGCAAATATCAACTTGATTGCATCCATTTTCAATTTTTCAGATTATGCCCATTTTATCATCAATGGAGAATGCATATTGATCCCACTGACACCTTACAGGTGCATCATCTGCCAGGGTTTGTTTAAGGATTGGAAAGTGAAATAAAAGAAGCAAACAAGACAAAATGCTTATCGCTACATTCCAATCTATAGATGGTTTTAAACATTGGTATATGCATTTATTTTGAAGTAGAAATTTCAAAATTATTCCAAAAAAATAAAGAAGAAAATCAGTCGAAGACAGAAACAAGTTCATTATATCCAACTTCTTCACTTTTTTGGTTCACTATATCCACAAAAAATAACATTATATGTGGCAAGGCACGGGACCGAACATTTCGCTCACTATATCCGGGAGTTCACTATAGCGGGGTTTGACTGTATAATACAAATCATGTTATAATGCAAAAAAAAAAAAAATTAATAATAATAAGTGCAAAAAAATGGGTCATTTACAAATTATTAATAACAAAAATAGATTAAAAGGCTGATATTGAAAATAAAACTTTAAGAAGACGCTATGCTATGGAAGAAACCTATTAAGACGACTTCGCCTTCATCAGTAATTTAAAATACAGAGAAAAGGGGGCTGAGTTAAACTAAGAGAAAACTATTAAGTTTCGAATGCTGAAACCTTTTTCATGCAAAATATTACTTACCTTCTCTATAACAGCAGCTAATCTTACCATAATTTGTTACCAATTTGCTGTTTTGAAAAAAAAAATTTCAGCATTTAAAACTTTATAGTTTATTCTTTATTTATCATAACTAATTTTTTTCTACAGTTTAAATTTTATAGTATTGTAGTCGAAAGAGAATTTTCCAAGAAGAACCCAATGTATAGCGTTTCCTTAAGCTAACTAATTTTCTAGTACTTCTTACAATATGTAACACTGTGAATAAGAAAAGTGTTTGTCACAATTAATCATAGAGATATTTGTACCTTTAATCGAATTTCTATACCCATATTGTGGAGAAAATCTGCTTGTTTTACAGGACCATATACAACAGCTGCAAAAAAAAGGAGAATGTAAGCAGATTTTAAATATTTATATATGGACTTTAAATATTTAAATAAAATGAAAATATGGGAGATAAGAGAAGATTTTAAGAGTGTTATGATCTAATTTTTAAATAAATAAATTGTTTTTCTTAAAATCTTAAAAAATGATAGACTAATACAGATAGATACTAAAAGAATTAAGAGTTTAAATATAAACCATCATATAATGGAGCTACTATTTTCACTAAAATATAAATGCAAAAAATATGTGATAAAAATAAAAATATGGAAGTTAAAGAGAAGCTTTTTAACAGTGTTACGATCTAATTTTAAAATAAATAATTTTTCTTAAAATCCTAAAAAATGACAGACTCATACAGATAGATACAAAAAATATTAAAAGTTTAAATATAAACTATTCTACAATGGAACCACTATATTAACTAAAATATAAATTTAAAAAAATGTGTTATATGAAATAGAAATATGGAAGACAAGAGAAGCTTTGTAAGAGTGTTAAAATCAAATTTTTAAATAAATATATTGTTTTTCTTAAAATCTGAAAAAATGATAGACTCATATAGATAGATACTAAAAAAATTAGGAGTTTAAAAAATTCATAAAGAAATTTTGAAAAATATAGAGACTCTTAATATTTATTAGATTTAAAAAATTTATTTACAATAATAAGCATAACTTAGAAGTGACTAATATCAGCTTTTCATCCTTAACTCTAAAAAGTTATGAATTTTACATAATTCAATTCTTTGAAGTCTAATTTCGAGAAAAAGAATTTTAAACTAATCTATCACACATACAAATATTTACTATCAGAATTAAGAAGAGATAATATATAATTGATAAGATAATAAAATAAATAAAATTGAAAATGGAAATGAATCTTTTCTAAATGCTACAAAAATAATAACAATATCTAAATTTCTATTAAATATGAATGGATATGAATCCACATTAACACTTCAATTAACACATTGTAGTTCATACATGTAAACTGCTGTTTGTAGAAAATGCAACACCATGAAAGAATCATCAGAATCAAATGAAATTTAATGCAGAAACGACTTGTACTGATACAAATAAATGATGAAATTTTCAAAACAAAAGAAACAAATTAAGCGTCCGAAATCAGTATTTGGTGCAGCCACCACGCGCTGCAATAAGTGCTGCTATACGACGTGGCATGGAGTCAAACAGATGTTGAATATCTGCTTGAGGAAGAGAATTCCATATCGCTTGTATGCGCAACCAAAGTTCGTCTTTGGAAACTGCAGGACGCGGATCACGAGTGAGACGCCGACCAACCATATCCCACACGTGCTCAATAGGCGACATATCCGGCGAATAAGCAGGCCAAGGAAGAAGTTGCATGCGTTGTGCTGAACAGAAGTCTCTAACAGTCCGCGCAACATGTGGGCGTGCATTATCCTGCTGAAAGATAGCTCCAGGGATGCCTTGAAGGAAAGGAACGACTTCGGGCTGTAGCACTTCACGGACGTATCTGTTGCTATTGAGATTACCCTCAATTCGTATCAAATTGGATCGTCCATGATACGAAATCGCACCCCAGACCATAACTCCGGGTGTTCGACCACTATGTCGTTCAATAATACACTCAGGAAGGCAGCGTTGACCGGCATAACGTCTAACACGAACACGGCCATCATGGGTCCACAAATTGAAGCGTGATTCATCTGAAAAGACAACTTGGTGCCAATCAGCTCGCCAGTCTCTGTGCTCAAGAGCCCACTGCCGACGCAGCCGTCGATGATCCGCCGTGAGGGGAATCCTGTATAATGGCACCCTTGCACGCAATCCACGGCGCAGCAGACGACGACGAATTGACGAAGCCGACAATTGTACACCTGTAGCAGTAGACCAATGTGCTGCCAGCTGCCTGGAGGAAGCTGTGCGATCATTCACCGCCATGCGGAGCAGGTGTCGATCATCGCGCTCTGACGTCACCTTCTGTCGTCCAGTGCCTGTTTTTCGAGTTGTTCGGTGCTCGTCGGTCCACTGCTTCCAAACTCGCATCACTGTGGAACTGTTCCGCTGCATACGAGCTGCTATTGCGCGATAGGAAAATCCTCCTTCTCGAAGGCCGATTATCCTCCCTCGTTCAAACTCCGTAAGTTGCTTGAATTTCTTATTCTTCCGTCGTGGAGGCATACTCAGGTCTCACTAAACGTTTGCCACTAACAAATAATCATAGACTATTTTCAACGTCCCGCTACAGCACTTTATTTATACGCTTTCAGCATCAATTCAGAGGGCGCTGCGCGCGCCACGCACGCGCGATGGCTCTGAAACTTTATTAATTTGCATAATATCCTATATCCATTATTAAAATAATATTTCATTTGATTCTGATGATTCCTTCATGGTGTTGCATTTTCTACAAACAGCAGTTTAGTTCAAATTATGAATGACATTCATCATGCATATTGAATACGAATTATTTCTGATTTCTTTCTTTCAGAACTAATGAAAAAAATTTTATTTTACATTTATACTGAATTATTTTCTCATAATAACCATAATATGTTTTTTGCTACAATGGATAGAATATTTTCACCATTTTGCTTATTTTGAAATAGAATATTTTAAGACATTATTATCTCACCTTTTTCACAAGCATGTTCAGTTAAAAATGCAAAATCCACATCAGCAGTCAAATCTGCTTCTCCAGAACACTTCAATGGATCATGCAGTTTGTGATTTTTAAAACTCTGAATGAAAAAAAAAAACATTATAAATTACCTAAATAAAAATTTATATATAAAAAAAATGAAAGTTAAAAATAATACTAATACATTCAACACTTTTTAGTATCATCATTTAAAGCAATTCATTTAAAAAGCCTGACAATGGTTTCATGGGCTCAAGAACAAAATTTACTCTTGGCACCTTCTTCAAAACACAAAAAGTTTTGTATTTTCCTCAGATTCTTATTAAATTGTTTATGTATATTTCATAAGACTCTGAAAATTCTTTTTTAAAATTGTAGTTTACAGATTCATTTCTATAACATCTATTTTTATAACTCAATTAAAATATTAACTTTCACTTGTTTTATTAGTATTTATTTCTACTGAAAACAAAACCTTTGCTCGTTTATATTACTTATTTTATATTTATAAAAAAAGAATTCTTTGCAGCTTTTTTAATTATTTAAAACAAAGAACACAACATTTATTGTAAGGAATAAAACTGTTATATGTTTAATATTATTACACGATACGTAGGACATATCCTACAAAGTAAGAGAGCCTGAACTTTCTGACAGCAATATATAGGAGATAATAGGGATAGGATACAATTGAATTTATAGCACTGATGTAAAAAAAAAATTTATGCATAAAATATTTTTTTAAGTTAGAATAATAAATTAGAAGAATTATCACCTTTAATTAAAAAGTTTTTAATGATAAGATTTAGCTTAATCATGACAACTGCAAAGTTAATTCTCTGGGCATCGTACTAAAATAGTAACTCAAAAAATATTTCCTTAATTAGCCAAGTTTATAAATGGAACACTTAAGTATTATTATTTTTAAACAAATACATAATAAAAGGAATTTTAAAAATATTCAACTTCAAAACTAAAAAAAAAAAGATTTTTTATTCAATTTTTTTTTTTTTTTTTTTTTTTTTTTTTTTTTTTTTTTTTTGGTGATTTAAATCTGCTTTTCTATCTCTTTATGAGTACCTTACTGGCAAATTTGGAAAGCTGCAATATTTATGAAATGAATCATTACATAGTTAAGAATTATCAAATGCTATCACAAGAATATTATTAACTTCTATATTTAATATGGTGTTATACATGAAAATTATTATTTACTTTACCTAGGCATTGCATACATTGACAAATTCTCCTTAACATAGTAAGGTTTGGCAAATATAAAACATGTGAAACAAAACAGAAAATTATTTTCTCTTTCTTTTCTTTATTCAAAAAAGAGAACTAAATTCATGACTAAAGAAAAAAAAATTTCTCTCTCAGGGTGCGTAGCCAAATTATTTAACAAAAAATAAGCACCTTTTAAGCACTTTAAAAAAAAATCATAATTAGGCAGGATTGGAAAGTGTTTGACAATTAACGGTTTTATCTTGTTTTAACCGTCATGTCAAAAAAAAAAACTTTTGGTATTGTTTTTAGCAATTGTCAAAAATCATGAAATTTTTAATCATGTAAAAGGAATGGCGCTTTCATACGCTACGGACTGACAACAAGTCGAAATAGATTGGGGTTGAATTAATTGTGAAAATATTGAATAGAACAATATGAACTGTGTCTTTTTGCATAATTCGAGGCGAAAATCAACATAGTAAAACAAAAATCTCATTTTGAGAAAGGGAAAATTAAGCACTTTTTAAAAACACCCAATGAAAAACGCACCTTTAAGGGCTTTTAAAAAAACGAAAATAAGCAGCTTTAAGCACTTTTTAAAAACGCTAAGCACCCTGTCTCTGTTCAATACAATTGTTTAGGAAACAAAAATAATTCAATAACTGTCTTATTTGATTATTATTACTAATATTCTATTATATTAGGAATAAAAAGATCAGTGTAAGGAATAACAGAAAATGGTCCTTAAACTTGAAAAAAAATAATTATTATTAAAATAGCAAATTGAGCAGGCAATATGTGAAAAGTTTATCTTTTTATAATTTAACAGTTAATTTTCGCTATTGAATCCCACTTTATTCGCAACATTTTACAACTTCAAATGAAGTAGATACCATGAAATAGAACTTGATGAACCAATTTTAACTTAGAAACTTTGACTTATTTTAAAATTCCTGAAGAACTCAAAAAAATATGAAACAGAAAATTATTCATCAACAAACTAAGATTTTTTTTAAAGTTTCATTTGTGAATTAATAATGCTTTTTATCAAAACTTTAATAAGGAATAAAATTATTAAAATAGTAACTTACCCTAAATGTATCAGTTTTTGTTCCTTCGTGACCATAATCAATAATTAAAGTTATTCCCCCATCTTCTTCCATTCTTTTTAGAATCCTGTCTAACAGAATACCAGAATCTGGAGAAATTTCCATGTGATCTCTTTCTTCATTTTCCTATAATTTAATTATGACAGAATATTATGTTAATTATTAATCAATAATTACTTAAAAATTACTTCCACAATCCCAAAACAAAACATTTTTTTTCAATTACCTGAGAACAGAAGAATCAATTACAAAGTATTAAAAATAGCTTTCTTTTTTTAACTTGTCAATAATCTTTTAAACTGATATAACTCTGTTTATAAGATATTTATCTACAGGTACAAATATATTAATGCCAATTGAATATATTTAAGTGGTAAGAGAATTTCTAAGAACTGTTCCCAAAATTTGACTATAATTTTTACCAGTTTTTTGAGATGATATAACCAATATTCCAAGCAGATGAAAAAGAATTTTGTGAAACAGGTAACTATTGTAATTACATAAAAATACAGAGTAAGCAGATTAAAAGGAAACTAGATTTTGTTCTTGAGATCATAAACAATATAAAAATGTAATTTGATAACAACATATTTTAAAATATGCATTAATCTTTGTATATGTTTTTGTCACATAAGGCAATAATAAATCCTAAAGATCTTACATTTTTGTTCTATTGCCTTACATCCTTGATAACTAGGTGGAAAAAAAAATTCTGCAAAAATGTGGTCCTTTATGAATATTTTATCCTACATGCACTTGGTAATTCAAAAATTTTACAGACAAAATTTTACAAACATTTACAAACAAATTTTACAAACATTTACAAACAAATTTTACAAAAACAATTGTATGTTTATTCGTACAAAAATATTTTTTTGTTATTTAAAATATCTCAAAAATTAAATAGCATATTAGATTTAGATTCTCAGATTAATAAGATAGCATCTTATTAGGTGAAAATCTGATCACAAAATAAAACTGATTTATGTGTTTCATTTTATATCAAAATACAAGGCCAAAAAAAAAAAAATATTTTCTTAAAAAGGGAGGAAAAACTTCTAACTTCATATGTTAAATTATAGGGCAAAATCAGGAAATTTTGCTGCTGGCCAATAGCTAGCAATAGCCAATAGAAATAGCATTTTTAACAATGACCACATTTTAAAACATGTGGTCCCTTTTTCACAAATTTAACGTTTTAAATGATAAAGAAAAACTGTTGATATTAATAACGTTATTTTCTTTGAAGTTTTTTTAAAAATACAATAAATATTACAAGATTCATTCCTAAACTGAATAAAAATTTTCAGAAACAAGTGGAAAAAGTAATTTTTAGAATGTTACAAGATAATTCATAAAAATTCCATATCTATTGAAACAAAATTATATTAAAATGCACATGCGTTGTATATTGGATGAATATAAACAATCTGAAGGTGCAATCTAGAGCATCAATCTGAAAATAAGAGATTAGCACATATTTTTTTACCACCATTTGTTAGATTTAGTCACCCTTCGGGCAGTGGTGGCCTTTAATTTTGCTATATGTCTTAAATACATAAATAACTTTTAAAAATGCCTACATTGAATAAACTAATTTATAGAATATAAACAAGGCTTACAGAAATCAAAAGTTTGGAAGCAGGAGTCTCCATGCGTGACATCACATATTGAAATTCTCCTTCCTTTACATCTATTAAGATTTCTCGCCAACCATTTTCTGTTTTCTAGTAAAAAAATTAGAACTATTTTAAAAGGTGAAATTTAAGATTATCAGAAATTGTAAATTTCTAAAACAGGGAAAGAAAAAGAAGAAAAAACATTGAAAATACCGCCTAGGAAGAAACAGGCTTCTTCACATCCGATTGGAAGGAAAAAAAGAAACTCTTTCCAAAGCAATATCAAATATTAAAACAGTTCTAAATAGTTTACAATTGCAATCTAGTTTAAATAGGCATTAATAAGATTAAATATTAATTTTTAAGCTAATGAATGAATCACTGTTAAAAAAGTGAAAACTGAAAAGCAACAATTCAAAAAATTTTTAAAATTCTATATAAAAATAGTTTCTTTTTAATTAGAAGTGAAAAACTTGGAATTTACTGGTACTATAAATTTAATTTGTTTAAATTCAAAGTATTATTATAATTCTCCTAAACATTTGAATTGGTCTTTTTTAGTTTCTTCTGTTCAATCCAGTTTCTTCCAACATACAAGAAACAGGTTTGCCCTGGATGAAATGACGACCCTGATGATTATAAAAATATAAACTGATGAATTAAATATCTTCTTCTTTCAAGGCACTACAGCCTGTTACAGGCCAAGACCATTCCAAATTAAATGTATATAAAAATATATAAAGACCAAAGTACCTGAAATTTATGTATAGGGAGAGCATCAAAGAACTCATGAGCTAAAAACAATGAAAATCCTTCCGGAACACTTTCTAAGTGATGATGCCATGTCAAGGGTACTTTATACTTTGTTTCCAAAGTTTTGTTATGAAGACCATCCTCTTCTGAGACTTCTACGTTTGGACAAAGCTTTGATCTTTGAACATTACAAAGATATGGACTAGCCTCAATAAAATGAACACTCAAACTAACATTTGAAGTAGTCAGCCGGGTGAAAACCTATAACAAAACACACATTCTTTTAATTTTAGTACAAAATAATTTCAACAAATTTCAGCAGGAACCTCAATCAGTCAACAAAAAAAATATTATTAATTGAAGCATTCACATTATAAAGACAAAAAAGAGTTAAATATATTTTCATAAAAAAAATGTAAAAATCATAGATTTCTTTCTACAAGGGAGCTCTACTTACCTACCTCCCTGATTGTTTCTCATTCAAAATGTTTTTTGCTCTTTTTCTTAAAAGTCAATATTGTTCAAAAACAAAAAAAAGGAAAAAGAGATTAATTTGCTAATAAAATATATGATTCTCATAATTTTATGTAAGAACATTATGTTAATACGCAAATGACCTAAATTTGATTATTTGAAAATTATTATATTCTTTTTCTAGCTTTTTACGGCTTTTTCCCAATTCCATTTGTAATACTTTATTATATTTTTATATCACATAACATACCACATTTTCTTCTAGAAGTTGGGGAACTAAACTACACAAGTAAAGTAAAGCATTCCTACAACAGTACTTATCCAAGTAAAGATCATTATCATAAACTCCTTTTTCAAATTTCTATTTATTATTCCTTACAAATTATTCCTTTATTTATTATTCCTTTTTTTAATCGCTGTCCTTCCTAATAAATGCTAGTAACCAATTTTTTTTTAGGGAAATAACAGAGCTCAAAAAGTATGTTCGAATTCTGAGCTTTGTTTTCATTGGGTTCTAAAATGAACCCCACTTCTCAATTTAAGAGAAAAAACTTTTTATTTTGTTGTCTGCCTATTCAACTTTATTATTCACTGTATGTATTAAAATTTTTCAAAATAATAAAAAGGAAGCACTAGAACATAATTATTAAAATGTAATTATTGAATGAAGCTCTTTTGTTAACATAAATAGTTAAATGGCATCTAATGGGGACACCACATAATCATTAGTGTTAACAGAAAAGCTTTACCATGTAAGGGTTGCAAAAATGAATAATTATTATAAAACATAATTATTAATATTGTTACATTTGTCGTATTTGTCTATTTTGTAATTGTTATCTTTGTCTTATTTATCCAAACTAAAATTGAATTTTTTAATTTTTAAAACCACATTTAGAAATATTTTCTTTTCGTCATCCTACTAAACTAAAGAAAGCATTATTATTGAATCAGTTTTGTATAATTAGTGAACTTCAATTAATTTTTCTAATGTATATGTGATTAGTTTACAATTTGATAGTTAAAGAAAAAATATATCCTTATTCTTAGTTATTTAATAATTTAAAAAAAGCTGCCAACATTTGAAAATTAAAGCTAGAGATATTTGTTCTTTGTATTAAATAATGTTTGTTGTTGTAGTTCATTTTATGTCACACTAGAGCTGCACAGTGGGGTATTGACAATGATCTGCGAAACATCACTGATGATGAATCGAAGACATGCCATCACAATTTTGATCTGCTGCAGAGGGGATGGTACACCTACTGCAATAACCCGACGAACTGCATTTGGAGTCGAACACTTTACGGTTGAACAGTTTGACGAGGACCAATACCATACACCCTCGGACCCCTCGCAGACTGATCCAAGTGGTCCTCCACCTGCACACTGACCGCAGCCAGTGATGCTGGACTTCGGTTAAAGAATAATACAAAATAATAATTATAATTATACAAACTAATTCCTAGGTAAAATAAATATTTTTCAGAATGACTAAAGACTCCATGGGAATGCCTTCAGAATTCTAAACAAAACTAGTGTCATATAGTTATCATTATACTTTATAGTGCATTTTAAAATATTGAAATGTACAATATCTTATTTTCTTCATGGACATTTTTATTTATTTAATAACTACATTAAGAAAAATATTTTTTCAAAGGAGAACAACAATGTTAAATGCCAAGATATAATATTTGACCTACTAATCAAATCTTCACACAATAAACATTATAATTACACTGAAATAACTTTTACTTAGAAAATATCCCTTTAAGCATTTAAAAACACTTAGCACTAAACTTTTCAATAAGAAAAAAAAATTTATAATAGGTAGTGTACAGTTATAATTACATTCCAACTAGATTATTAACAGTAAAAACATCAATAACAGAAGATTTTTAAAAATTGAAGTCAATATCCAAGTGAGATAAAATAAAAAGAAAAGGAAACAAGGAAATAAACTAGAAACTAACATTGGGTTTAAATGGCCTTAGCTTTGAAAGTTTAAAAAATGAATATACACAATTATAATTACACTCCAATGAGATTATTTACTCTGAGAACATCATCAGTCAGTGTGCCCCGACCTGGACCAAATTCAATGAGCTGTAAAGGTTGTGGTTTTCCAATCTTGTACCATTCATTATAAAACCACACACCAATGAGCTAAAATAAATAAAATAAAATTATTAAAATGTTAAGTATTTATTTTAAAATACTAATATTTTATAAGATAAATAAATTAATAACATGAATTTTAAGCTGCTTATTTATAGTTATGGTGCAACAAAAGATGGATTTCTTCATTTTAACGCTATCCAACACACTATATACAGGGTTATTCATAATTCCCTCCGGAGTTTCAAAGCGTTATAGTAAAAATACGAAGACAAATATGGCAAAAAAGAACATATGAAATTATTCCGAAAGTATTCGAGTTTTATATGCCGCGCGAAAGGATAACACGTGCTATCAATAAGATAGACAGTACCATGTTGAGTAGAGTATGGCAGGAACTGGACTATCGCATTGATGTATGCCGTGTGACCAAGGGATCACACATAGAACACCTGTAATGTATGTAAGTAAAACTTGAATAGTTTCGGAATAATTTAATATGTTTCTTTTTTTCATATTCGCCTTCTTTTTTTTTACTATAACGCTTCGAAACCCCGGAGAGAATTATGAATAACCCTGTATATTTACATAGTAACCTATAGGGCCACATTGTCGATCCCCTAATAGGCCTATAATAAAATTGTTCTCATCTAGCAGGCTTAGATGAGAACAATCCCACTGTTTATTAAGCTTTAATTTTGTATCCAATTTATTGTGAGAACAATTTAAGCATTAAAACAAGATCACAAAAGATCAAACTTTGCACTAACAAGGGATAAAAATGGAGGGATAACTGTAAATCTACAACATTTTTAACATTAAATATTTCGTTTAAAAATTAAGAACGATTTACGATTTGTTTTTTGTCTAGTTTTTTCTTTTTCAAAAAACGTATGTTTTTATGGACATATTTAGTATGACGTGACAATTAAGAGGGTTTCTATTAGACTTTAATCTTCACTTTCTTTCTTGAAAGTAAAGTAACTCAAAAACTGAAATGCTTAGCTTTAAAATTTTCTTTTAAAAATTAAGATCGATTTTTATTTTTTCTGTTTTGCTTTTGTATATAACCTTTGTTTTTATAGGCATTTTTATAATAGCACTGTATTTTTAAAAGCATTTCCTATTTACTAATTTCTACTCCTTTTCTGCAATGCTAGACCTATTTTTTAATGTGTTTTGAATTTTTTTTCTAGAAAATACTTTTTTTAGCATTAAAATTTTGTATTAAGAATTAAAAGGATTTTTTTCAGTTTCTTTTTTTTAAACTTTACAACTTTATTAATTTTTTTTAATAGCTGTTAGTCAGTATTTTTTATCTTAAATATTTCTAATTATCTTAATATCTAATTATTTTTATCTCAAACATTTCCATTAAAGGTTTTTTAATTTACCCCATACCTATAATGCTGGTCATTTTTGATTTTTTTTTCAATAATGACTAAACTTATTTCCATATAAAAAATAATATTTATATATGATTTTTTTTTTAAAAAAAGTTGCTATTCGGCTGCCGAATATTCGGTATTTGGCCAAATCACTATTCATGACATTAATGAATTATTTAAATAAAATACTTGAGAAAAGGATATTAATAAAAAATAGAATTTTTATTTTTTTTATTTTACTGCTACTAGAAGACAAGAGGATAAAAAATTTTGTACTTAGTGTGATGCATGTAAAATATAGAAAAAAATATAACAAAATTGGCTGAAATTAAATGCTAAACTTTAAGAAAATGTGTAAAAAATATTTCTATTTTTGTCACTGGTCTATAGTTAAATAACTTTAATCCTAAAATATTGTAAAATCTCCAAAATCATATATCTTTATCATGAAAAAAAATCCCAGTTGATAAATTTGAAATCTAGGAAATAACCATAGCTATCCAAATTAAATATACGAAGCAATATCATGAATTAAAATATTTTTTAATACTTACTTCACCAAATATTTGAGAAATTTCAGGTGAAGTAATGAAATCTCCTTTGCTTCCAAAAACATCCCTTTTCATATAATAGCCCTGTTAAAGATTCAAAACAAATTAATTTTAATAGGGAAAAAATATACATAGGCAATACACTTTTTCTAATGAGAAAAATTTATTCAAACTAGAAATATAAAGTGAAGAAGAAATTCTGAAAAAATTCTTGTATCCTTAATTTATGCAACTTATCATTGACATGAAGTCAGCAATACAACAACAAAGATGGACTTTGTATTTAACTTTGGAACAGCAAACAAATGAATAGAAATAACAACATATTATTTTCAAATTTTTGAAAAAAAATTAAGTGTTTGATTATGGAATGATTTCTAAAAAATTATAGACCCATGAAAATTGTTGTCGAAGTCTTTCAGGTCTATGATTTCCTTTGCCCTCTTATGTTAAAAAATGCTGACTCTACAAAACAATTAGATTGAAAGAATTGGAATAAATAAAGAATCAAGTGATAAGTGATAACAAATTTAAAGGGTAAAAGATTCTCTTTACTTGAAATTAGAGTCTTTTGAATGCAGACCTATTGAAGGAAGTGCCGTTGTAGATAAAAATAGAAAATATTTAAATAATGTTAAGCATAGATACAGAGTATAGCTGTTTCAGTGATAAAGATATCAAATATCCACTTTGCCATGGGCAAAAGAAATCATAGACCTGTAAGACTTTAACAACTATTTTCATGGGTACATATTTTTTAGAAATCATTCCATAATCAAACACTTACATCTTTTTCAAAAATTTGAAAATAATTAATATGTTGCTATTTTTATAATAGTCATTTGTTTGCTGTTCTAAGGTTAAATACAAAGTCCATCTTAGTTGTTGTATTGCCTGACATCATGTTTATTTTTAATTGAACATCAGAAGACAATCAGATTTTATTTTTCTAACACAAGTTTTTATAAATGTAATTAAATTTTAAATATTGACAACTTAAAATATAAAGTACTTATCGCTGATAAAGACTTAAATTTCAGTAACAGTTGGTAGAATTATATAGTTTTTGTAGCTTGAATTGGTCACAGTTGGAATATAATTTAATTACAACTGAGGACAACTTACCTATCTATACTCAAGCTATAATGGTCAGGCCATAATGGCATACAAGAAACTAGTTTTAAAAAAAAGATTTAAAAAACTACGATGATTAAAAATTAATCTCAAAGGATAAAACTGATAGCCATCTCTAAGCAAGCCATTATACATTTTTTAAAAATTTATTCCAAGTATAAGAAAGGCTACTGCATGAAAAGCGTGCCTTATATATATTATGAAGTGGACTGTTTCTTTTTGTTCATACGTTTATTAAAACAAAATTAAAAAAATAAACTATATACATGAAGAAAATTAATGTGGCTGTTGTAATAGCAGTAAACAATGAAAAATAGCTCATGAGAAAGCTTTCAAAGTTCTTCAAGTAATAATCTTTGATTCTCTGACAGTGATGTGAGAGGGATAAATGCGTAGGCATACATTTTTGATACCTAACAAATAGAAAAACATTTTTTACACAACTAGCCCAGTAATGAATTTTTTTCATTTTGAGCATAACAAAACCAGTATGTATAAATACTTTAATTAAAAACTACACATTTCTTAGCATGCAAAATAAGCATAATAAATAATAAGGCAGTTTTAATTACAGAGAAAACAACTACTTACTGAGACAGGAGAAATTAAAACTTCTTTCATGTAATCTGCTACAGTCATTGGCCCTGTTGCTTCTATTTTCATACTCAAGTAATCAAATAATTTTCTGTTGTTCTGGCTGCTGTTACAAAAATTCTGAGCTATGAAAAAAAAAATTAAGAAAAAAATGTGTTTAATATGCAAACAAAATAAAAAGAAGCATAATGAAATACCTAAGTAGTACTTGAAAATGAAAATAAATGTATATATTTTCTTCAAATATGTCATTATATTTCCTTTTGTTAAAATAGATGCAGCAGCCAATTTTTTCAGAAAGATTTTTTTTCCCTTTCAGTTGGCAGCTTCATATTGTTATTGACAGTTTTTTCTACCAACCTTTAGAGATACTGTGATATTAAACATCTATTATTAATATATTCTATTATTGTACTTTCACTATTAATACAGATTTCCTTCAGCCCATTTCCCCCCAGCTTAAAAATAAAAACATTTTTGTTCCCTCATTAATATTAATCACAACAATACTGTCTTATGATTATTGTATAAGTCATAAACATGTAAATTACATACAAAAATGACTCAGTCCATTCATTAATGAAATTCCCTCATTCATTTATAATTACAACAATATTGTCTTATAATTATTGCATAAGTTATAAACATGTAAATTACATACAAAAATGACTCAGTTCATTTATTAATGAAAATGGAATATTTTCATAGTGCCAGCAATAATTACAAGCCGAGTTGGACCCCTAAGATGTTTTTTTCTTTTTTAGATCTTATTTCAATTTCTTGTGGGCCACTGCCTAGAAGTCACAAAAACTTGATGATTAATTTGACAGTCGTATCAAGATTGATATTTTCCTAATGAGGATATATCTTTAAAGTACAGCTTCTCACAGCACTTCATAATCTCTTTACTTTAATGATCTTTTAAATTAAAAGATATGCTACATCAATTCTTTACACAACTCATTTATTTGTTTTCTGCTTATAAAAAGAAAACAAATGTGTAAATAAAAGTTTTGTTACCTATAAAAAGATATTTACGTAGAGAAAAAAGATTAACTTAGAACTTATATGTAATAAGAATAGCAACAGCACACATACAATTTGTAATGAAAAGAAAGCTAAATTAACACACAACTGGCAATATAAACAGTGGGTTAAAGTGTAGAATAGTATACCCTTGTATTGGGTGTACTATTTTACTATATATAAAATATTCCCTTTACTTATTCCCTATATTAAAATATTCCCTAATAAAATATTCCTAGAGCGATTTTTTATTATTAGAAAATCTCACTTGTTAACACCCTGTTTTTCTGCAAGAACATAAAAATTTGCTATAATACAAAGGGAACCCCATAGTAATTTTTTAGCAAATATAATTATAGATTTAAATAATATTTACTTTTAATACAATTTTTTCAAGTACCGCAATTACATAAAAGATTTAAATTGCAATTTTCTATAATTAAATAAGATAGATACAGAACGTGAATAAATCTCTTTTCCAAATAAATAATGCCATATGCACAGTTTAAGATAATTACTCTATGTGTCCGATCAATTTTAACTAAACCATGAAAATTAATATACCTCTTATGAATGCTGGATACCTGAAACGTCTTCTACCATTGCAAAAAATATTTAAAGAATAAAACAAGGTTTTACTTAACATAACTTCAACGAGAAAGTGTTAAATTCTTTCAAAAATGAATATAGTGAGCGTTAAAAATGTTAATAGTAATATAAACTCTTAAAATCATCATATATCTTAATTTTTTTTAATAAGAAATTAATAAATTTTCATTGTGATCAGGATTATTTAATCAAAAAGGGTCGAATCGATCACTGGAAATTGTTTTCAAGAGATTGTTTGTTTACAAATTTCTCTGTACTAAGCAATGAAAGTTAAAGTTACAACAGACGAATAGTTAATGTTATTTATAAATCTTTTTTAGTTATTTTATTAACGATTTAAAATTACTAATCACTCAAATTTTGAGTTTTATCACACAAATAATTAATTTTCGGAAAGTTTTCTTATGATATATTGCATAAAATATAGTTCAACTGTAACCATCGTGAACTTCTTTCTGCTTGTTTTGATGATCGGAAATAAAAAAGAAGCAAAACTAATATCGTCAAGGAAAGATTTGTATTTAAAGCTGTAGTTATCCTTGTGTCATCGTGACTGTCAGTTCAACTTATGCAGGTCATGTAACAAGTGTATATTATTGGATAATAATCATTTTTACAATTTCAAAAAATGGCACCCGTGTTTAGTAAAGTAGCCGCTCGTAACTCAGCTGCTATTGCTGCATCAGTTGGGCTAGTTTATTGGGTCTCTTCAATTCGCTTAAAAAGAAGACAACAAAAGTTTGTTATTATTCAATAACATATAAATTATAATCTTTATATTTGATCATTGTTGTTAATAAGTGTTTAATGAAATATAAATTTTTAATGCTATCAAATATTTGAATAGCGATTGGTAATTATTATCAGTGAAATGCCTCTTATCCTAAAAAGAGAAAAAAGCATCAAAGAAAAGTGAATTTTCATAGATGCCGTGTTTAATATAGTAACCACTTGTAACTCAGCTGCTATTGCTGCATCAGTCAGCAATGATTCATCGATTCTGATGCTTCAATAGGTATTCATTGTAGATTAAGCAGTGATTCAAACTAACTATAAACATCATTACAGTATCAACTGTCTTGCTTGAATACTAATTTCCACACTTTTAAACATATAACAGGTTGATTAATCTTTAGAAATATCTTAACAAGCAATACAAAAGCACATCAAATATTATACATACTTGAATACAATTTTGTGTAACTTTGATTCAATTTTTTCTTTATATCATTTATATCTATCAGTTTATTTTATAATCCTATTATTATTTTTGAACTGGAATTTTTTTCCCATAGACAAAGAGCTCAAAATCCTGAACTACAGTTTAGGATTTTGAGAATAAGCTAATTTCATTAATATATAGAATCATCTAGTTTGATTATCAATCAGTTTTAAAGTCATAAGAATGATAGAAAAAAAATTTTTAACTAAAAAAAATTTAAACTATGAAATTTGTTTTATTTTCTAATAGATGTTTTCTTATTTTTGATAATGTATTCCTTAACCAATTTATTCCATTGATAATCTATTCATTATTAAAGCTTATATTTTAAATATATGTATTGAGATGTTCGCAAAGAAGTTATCATAGTTTTATTCAGAACCATGATAAGGATGAGGCAAAGTTGATTTATATATGCATTTATTTAATTGTATAAAGGGATATATGAAAACATTTTAAGATGATTATTTCATTTGGTTGATTTTTGGTTTGATTTTTATAGTTAAATAAAATAAAAGCTTTTGAGTTGCAAAAATTAATTACATGAGCTTTTAAATTTGTACACACATGGTTTTAAGCTATAGAAGCAGACACAAAAATGTACTTTCTCTTAAGAAGCATATCTTTTTTATGATGGATTCGGATTCTTCACCCTTAAATTATAAACAAACAAACCTCTTCTCATTTTTTAAAACTGATTTTTATGGTATAAAATTAAATGCTAACTGAAACAAAAAACTTAATTGTTTATTTATTTAAAATAGTTCTATCATTCATAATTGGTAAATTTGTTTTTATGCATAATTATATCTGTAGGGATCATTGATCCGATTTTCATGACGTCAACACAAGTGACATTTCTGTATCAAGAAACTGACACTACCTAAAATTAAAATCGTTTGCAAAAAACCATGTACCCTCAATAGTCAACAAAGGTAATCCCTAAGAATGACCAACCTCCATTAACGGCCATTTTACTGTCGAACAGAGAGCAGTCGCCCCAAGAGGTTTCACTGTGCTATAAAATTTTTCATGCTAATTATAACTTTTCACAAACAGTGTTCATGCATATTACACATATCTGAATGACAGTTTTGCTTATTTCAGATTATCTCTGGAAATATTAAGCAAATCAAAGACTTTATAAAGTCATAATTATAAAAAAAAAAAAAAAAAATGTAATTATAAAAACCAACATACTAGTGTCATTTTCTGCTACTTATATTTATATATTTCCTTTGATACAGAGCTGATGTTGATGAAGTGGCTTGTGCCTATGCTCAGGTAAGTTCTCTTTTAATTTTTTCTTTTTTTATTTTATTCCAATTCTTACAAATTAACTTAACATTTTAAAACATAAATACTTCGCAACTGAAATATAAACAAAAGGCAATGAGCTCTATTTAAAATAAAAGGACATCAAAATGTGATTAATTGTCAGATGAAATTTAGTGGTGTTTCTAATAATTGCTTTTCAACTCTTCTTTAGATATCAAACGAATTTGAATTTTTTCAGGCTCTCTTTCCTCAATAGTAATTTATTAGATTTTGAAAGCTTTTTTTGTGTTTTCATTGCTAAAATATTAATCTGTTATTCTTAATGTGCATGCTTTTTTTACATAATTTTGCAGAAGTCTAAAAATATTTATTATATGCAGTGATTACAGATCACCTGTATATTGGGATAATTATAGTTTGTGTTAGTTTCACTTGGCAGCATCTATTGACTTGGTCAGTCTATTTCCATCATTTGTTCCCTGTCACCCTATATAAATATTTGACAACAAAAGACTATATTAAACTCAAACGTTTAAAAAAAAAATAAAAAAAAGTTTAACACTACTGGCACCTTTTTGTAGAAAATATGCAACAAGTAAGCATTTAGGTACTAAATTGTTAGCATTCTTAAGTTTTAGATTTAGATCTTAAAATTTTAGATTAGTTCATTTTTTTAAAAAAAAGTTTAGTAGTTTATTGTTCTTACATATTTCTACTAAACATATTAAGAATTTTATTTTTTCACAGAAAGAAGAAAAGAAAGAAAAAGTCCAAGTTGATGCGAAATTTTTTAGGTAGAAAATCAAATTAGGTTTTATGATTTGCTTCAACTTTTTATTAGTATGTTGCTTTTAACTTAACGAAACATTTGAACATTCTACTGTACCTTTATGAAATGCTAATGTTATGTATTGCTGTACAATTTAAACATTATTTATATGTTATAATTTTAATTATGCTGTAAATTCGCAGATAATCCGTCATATATGTTATTTGTGAATTCATGGGTAGGCTCATTTGTGATTCTCATAAATATTGCTTAACTCAGAATACTGCAACAAAATAAAATGTGGTCTGTGGTCCAATTAAAATTATTAGATCATAAGTACTCATTTGGAAAATTTATTTGAAGTATGTTTAATAAATTTGCTTGTACTTTTATGTATTTTAGGCAGCTGAAAGCAGTTTTGAAAATTATTTTACCTGGTGTTTTTAGCTGGGAGGTAAATACTCACTAATTCAATTAACTTGATCTTGTTTACTTGTTTCTTGCAGATCCTTTTTTAAAAATGTTCATTACAAAAAGTATTTTTATTAGTTGTACACTTTAAAATAAGTACATGATAAAAAGTGCTTTTGAAAAATTTATTAATTGTGTTTAAAAATAAAAGTTTCTTTAAAAATGTTAATGCTTTAATTTTCTCCCTAACTACTTTGAGAAAAGCAATTTTTCTTCTTTTAGCTAAGTTTTTATATCATATTTTCGATGTATTAAAAAGTATGTATATGTACAATTCTTTTTATTCATTAAATATATGCCTATAGGCTTTTTGTGCAAAATTAAATACGCAAATAGTATAATTTTTATGTAATAGTCTATTCTGAACTCTGAATTAATGTTATATTATTTGTGACAGTGATACCATAACTAACAAATATGTGTTCATGTTATTCAATAGAGAATCATTGCTCTGCAAGACCAAGTAGCTTTTTAGCTAAAAGGTTTAGTGATAGCTTAGGTTAGCAAATGCTAAACTTTTAGGCATTTTTATTAATGTCTACAAACAACTTTCTAATATTCTAGCCAATGTTAACAATTGTATTACCAATACTTAAATGCTAATTTTGACTTAAAACTTAATTTAAATAATATGTCCATTTACTACAACTATGATATTCTACTTAACAAGAATAAGTTATAAGATGATAATTATTGAGCTTCTTAAGAAACTCGATAACTTTTGAACCGTTAATGAGATTTGGTTAAAATTGACGGTTGAATGCTGGTTGTGTTGTTAATTTATTTCTTTACTATGCACACTTTTTTTTTTTTTGGTGAACAATGTTGAATTACAGAATTATCTGAGCAATTATCAATTGTTAAATGCCTCTATATGAGCAGTCATTAGGAAATTTATAGCCAAGTGCAAATGAAAAACAACCAATTGAAGTATTATAATAATTAAGAAATGATAATTAGTGAAATTTTTAAAAGAAATCCTCATTACATAAAGTGTCCTAAATCATTAAAAGCTACGGTTTGTGTTGGAAGGAGGATAACTCAACCAAACTAATACTAGTGTGTTTGATGTTTTGAAAAAAAATTTTAAAACAAACATTCTATCTATGGAATATCCAGAGGCCATTAGAATGAGAATTGCTTGACTTCCCTATTTTTTTTTATCTTATCCCTTGTTACTTACAAAGACCTTGCTCACTACAAAGGGCTATTATATGCAATTTAAAATTGTTCTGAAAGTTCATTAATAATTATTATTCAAGACTCTTATTCATAAAAAAATCTATCATTTGCTAGAAAATAGAATGTCTGTAATTTGATGCTTATTTTCATAATATGTTCAATTTGTACTAAAATGTATTACAATTTTGTAGGCAGCATATGTTGCTATGATTGCATGCTCACTTGTTGGAAGAACATTGTGGGATATTTGGATGATTCATAATGGTACTGTCATTGAAAGGTAGGTATTCATTATTAATTACTCTTCTTTAAAAATAGCAGTTAATTCGAATTATATTTAAAATTCCCAATTCTTTGTTAACTATATTATTTTCTTTTTTAATCTTTCATTTTTTCTTCAGTGTTTAAATTATTTAAAATTTACTATATATTTTTGATTAAATTTAATTTTCTTAGGAGATTTATTATGGATTTATATGACATAAAAGATAGTTATGTAACCCTGCATTGAAATCTTTTATTTAAAAAAAAATTCAAAAAGAACATAATAACCAATACAAATGCTTTGTTTTCATGTATTTTTTTTGTTATATGTGTCAGATGTTTTAGACATGTGTTCAACAAATATCTTTTTAATCCTTAAATTTTAACATTCAAATCTTGTTTGAGTTTTAATTTAAAATCTGAAAATAATCCCTCACACTTAAATTTACTAATTCGTAAATATATTACATTAAAGTGACCGAGTAAATTATTGATAAGAAGTCAATGCACCCGATTGAATTGCCTGCCACCTTTTTGTGAAAAAATGCTAAAAAAATACACATAATGCTTTACTACAAAATACTGCATATGTTGACTTGGCAAAGACATGAAGAGATACATGGATGCCAAGGGCAAACTCCTTGATTAGATGCCCCTGTAAAAAGGTGTAATCACTGAAGAGAACGAAAAGAAAAACACTGAAAAATATTTATTTTTAAAAATCAAAGTCCATATTTTAAAAAAAAAAATCAATTTTTATGCAAATATTCCCTATAGCAGAATTACAACAACCTTGTTTTCAAACTGTTGCAGTTTTTGCAGGAAAATTTTTCATTTGGGAAACAAAAAACTTATGAGGTTTTTTCAGCACAAGTTTTGCAGAAACAAAAGCTGTTCTGCAAAAAACTTTTCTGCAGAACGTTTTGAAAAATGTTTTTTTCTGTTGAAATGTTTCATAAGATTTGTTTTCTTGCATATGGGGGGGGGGTAATATTGTAAAATAGCAAACATCCAACGCTACTCCTTCAATTATAAGGTAAGGTAATTAAAGTGCCTTAATTCAAATAAAAAGTAAGTAACATTTGAGATCGCCTCTTTTTTATTGCTTGAACATAATTATTTGTTCTTGGACTGGATCCTTTGCTTATCAGATTATAAAGTATGTAAGACACTGTTATAAAGAAACATAGTAGTCTCATTTAATATTCAAAATTTTATAAATTATATGAAATTAATTTAGCCCCTTCCTTCTCGCTCCCGTGAAAATGACAGGGTGGCGTTTCGCCTGCTACTTCTCGCTCCCGTGATATTGACGGGCTGGAGTGTTCAGTAGTAGCACGCCAATAAGAATAAAACTAATTCATTTCTTTTGCCCGGAAAATATTTTATTTCTCATTTTACATACCAGATAGCAGTACCAGAATATTTTTTAAGGTAATTGTAGATAGTTTATTTTAAACTAGATTTCAGCACGAATCAAATACAAATACAAAAGCCAAAAAATAAGCACTTTTATGACCGTTTTCTTAAAAATTAACCGATCGTTGAGGGGTTAAAGAAACTTTATAAAAGTTTTTGTTCTCTTTAAATATTTACTTTAATTACTTAGCTTTTCAACTACATCAAAAAATGTAAGAACTATATACATTTCTTTACAGGACTATTCTCCTTGCGTGTATTTACAAGCAAGCCCGAAAATTCCACCAATCAGATTTTAAAGTTCACTTACTTTTTCGAATCTGATTGGTACAATTTGCACTTCGGTCAATGTAAAAAACATTTTCCAGAACCGACTAGAAATTTTTGCTTCACTTCATAAAAAAATAAAGAAATAAACATAGAACAAAAAGGAAGGAATAAAAAACTGTTCTTTTAAATATTTTAAATTTTTTTACTATTACAAACCAAATATTTGGTTGAACGGCATCCCCCCCCCCACCAACTTCAGCACTCATGTTATATAAATTAGTAAGTAACTAATTTTAAAAACATAAAAATCATATAAATATACTTAGCTAGCAATAATTCTGTAGAAAAATAACGTACTAGCAGGGACTATATAAATGTAGTTTCTTCAACAGAAATCAACGAAAAACTTCACAAAAAAACGTATCAAATCATGATAGGTAATTTCTATTGCAAATAACTGCATTTTGATGATAGCTTTTAATTGCTAGTTACAACTGTTGATTAGCTACATACACATCATTTCAGATAACTTTAGAAATACTAAATTGACGCTGGATTATGGTAGACCACTTATGCTACCACAATCATGTTGACATTTCACATATTCTGGAATATTGAATGAATAATTATAAAGGTATAGAACGTGCTACAAACAACTTTTTTAATTAAAGCTATACGCTTGCAAACATCACTGATGTTATCTTTAAAATAATTTACTAAACGGAATTGTATAAAATTTAAATTAAAGCTATAACTTCTGCTAAACCAATGAGAAAATTCTATCTTTTAAATTCTTACTAAAAAACTGAAAATCGAGCTTCGTAACTTGTTTACAATTCTACTAATTTAGTTTCAGGTTGAATGCCATAGTTTTAGTACTTACAACACAAATTCTTTATTCTGTTATACGAGTATGTCTAGATGGATTTGAATGAATATAATCTATTTTAAGAATTAAAGACTACTGTTCAGATATTAATATACATTTATTAAGTAGTTAAGATAATGTGTTTAGAAAATTAATGATTTCTGCTCAAAAGTTTATTAAAAAAGTGGGTAAAATTTAAAATTGATTTAAGTGCTAAATCATATTAAAATTCTTGGAAATAAGCATGTTATATAAGTATTGTTATATCAATAATTAAAAAGGGAAATGATAACATTATTTTCTTATTCTCATTTAAATTTACTGTATATAATGATGATTTATAAAAGTTTTTAATTCTGAGTATTAATCAGAAGTTTATTTTCATGAAACTATTTACAAAAGAAGGAAACTGCACAGAAGTTCCATGCACAATTTATTACCTACTTTAAAAAAAACTTACAAAGGCATTAAAGTTACTTTCCACTTTCATAATTTCACTCATTAAATTTTCCCACTGAAAAAAATTTTATGTTTTTTTGTCATATAATATGAGTTTAATTATTTTAGTGCTTATTTTTAGTCTTTACTCCAAGATAAATTAGTCTGGAAATGTTCCTTTTTCTCTTTTTTTACTTCATTAAAAAGAATAATTTGTTAAAAGAATAATAAAAAAAAAAAAAGAGTTTTTATTTGAATTGTATGTTGTTGCACGGAATTTAAAAGTAACTTATATGTTTTTCCATGATATTAAATCTCTTTCATATTGTTATTATTTAAATTTATTGTCTTTGCATTTGATTATGAGAAAAAAATGAGCATCCTTAATCATATTTTGCTTAAATAATTAAATTTTTTAAAGCAATATCTTTCATTTAAGTTTTTTTATTTAATTTGCAGATCAATAATTACTCAGAATATACCCCTGTTTAGGCAGTCACTAGAAAAATTTATTTTTGCTATGCCAATGGTGAGTTTTATAATTTTTGTATATTATGGAATTATATTTAAATATTATTAATACCTCTTAAAATATCCTTTGAAGATACAATGAAAAATAACAAGTTAAATCATTATGATTACAGTTAGATATTAAAATAGCATGATATTTGATTATGTCGTTTTACTATTGTAACTTGAGTAAAATAACATCATGTGAAAAAAATCTCCTAAAAATAGTTTAGCATAAAATCTTTCAGGAGTATATATATGTATATAAAATAAGATTTCTTATAAATATAATATTATAAATATAAACAATATATAAATTGTGTAAATTTCTTAGGCCTATAATTATTAATAATTATTCTATTGGTTAATTATAATAATAGTTCTATTTATTGTGACACTTTAGTTGACTCCCCATTTTGTTTCAAAATATGCACTGAGTGCTTATTATCATTCAATTTCAATGATCTTTACTTATTAAATAATTAAATCTATCTTCAAAGGATGTCAGAAAAATCACTTATTTTAAAATCCACTTAAGAAAAAAAGAGAGAAATATTGAAAGCTATAAATACTTTCATAAATTTTTAAACCATGTTGAATTGTTAGTTTTGCTAATCAAACAAATGTGTTAATGCTTATATTTTAAAACCCATCTATAAATTTTGGAAAATATATAGCTTTTGTTTAATTAAAATGGCAAATGTAGATGCTGTAAAAATAAAATATAAATGTAGTAATCAATTTCGCTTTTTGTGTATTTGTAAAGATTAACTTTTAAATTTTTTTTCCTAAGTGTAGACATTCCAATTTATAAAATTATATATTCACAGAACAAATGTGATTTTAATAGGCGGTGGGTACTATATTCTGAACTTCATTTGCTGTAGCATTTTACAACCTCACTAATGTTTTGCACTTATACTAATCATTCATTGAATCTATCTTTAATAATGTAATACTTTAAATAAACTGTTTATTATATTACTATATAACAAATTGATTTCTTTTGAAATAATCAATTTTTTCCTATCTACCTTATTTCAGATTCTCTAAGTTTTACATTACAATTGATTTTAACTTTTAGTTTAAAAATTGGCTATATTTTCTTCAACGCTTAGTTTTTAAAACCTTTTCTCTATCTTAATTTCATAAAGCAAGTACCGTGCGCCATGTAAACGGACCTCCCTAAATAATTTTTGATCTAATGATTGAATCTTCATGATCTATGAGTCAATTTTAATAGTTTGAGGAGGTGACCTCAAATATGCTAATTAATTAGTGCAGACGATATTTTAAGTAACGATATCAGACATAAAAACGCTCAGTTTTTCAATGGATTTAAGTTTTTGACCTCCAAAATATAGGGGGTATCCACAGTCTCGGAAATATATTCCCCATAGTTTGGTTCGGAGAGCAGTCGAAAGTTTGAACCTCATAATGTTAATTTAATTTTTTGCATTTTTCTCCATATCTAAAGAGCTTTTAAAACAAAATGAACGCTTTTTGCATACAATTGTAAAATTCGTTTTTTCAAATATAATTCCATGCAAAAAATAAATTATAGTTGATATTTATTATTTTTTTTATTATTTTATTTAATAATCGTCGAAAAATATTTAAATTGTAAGGTATAAAATTTTTATATCATTTTAAAGTATGTAATTTTGCATATCAAAACACAAAATTTGAGCAAAATAGTTCCTGAGAAATCAAAATTTAAAAAAGTCATACATTTAAAATTTGATTTCTCTGGAACTATTCAACCAATTTTGCTCAAATTTTCTTTTTTGCTATGTAAAATTACATACTATAAAATAATGTAAGAAATTCTATGCCCTACAATTCCCAATGTTGCGACTGTTATTAAATAAAATAATAAAAAATAATAATATTAACTAAAATTTATTTTTTGCATGGAATTATATTTGGATAAAAGAATTTTATAATTGTATGCAAAAATTTTTCATTTTGTTTTAAAAGTTCTCCAAATATAGTCTAGATAAGCAGAAAATAAAATTAACAATGAGCTCTAAACTCAGAGTCACTCTCCTGACCAAACTATAGGGACCATATTTCCTAGATTGCAGCTATCCTCTATATTTTGAAGGTCAGAAATCCGAATCCGTTTAAAAAAATGTTTGTTTGTTCTGAGAAAGTAAGTTTTTATTCCTGATTTCGTAACTTAAATTTTGCCTTCAGTAATTAATTAGCATATTTGTAGTCACCCCTCTTAAACCATTAAGATTGAGTTCTAGAATGTGAAGATCTGATCAATAGATCAAAAGTTATTCAGGGTGGTCTTTCTTTGGGCACATTGTACGTGCATTACAATCTTAGGTAAATGTTGATTATTGTTAATTATTTTTAAGTAATAAATATATTTATTTTTAGATATCACTTGTTAACAATGCTATGAAAGTAAGTTTAATTTCTTTTGTATTGTTATTTTAATGTATTTTATATGAAATCACACTGACACTCAATGCTTAAATAAGCTGTGTATTTTTCTTTTGATGATTATTTGTCACTGAAATATTATAAAAACAGTTGTCAAACTTGATAAGCATTATTACATACCCAACTTATATGACCAATGAGAAAACTTTTATAAAATGGTCCTAAAATGACGATAAAAGTAGAAAAATTTTCTTAATATTAAACTTTTTTGCTGACACTTAAAAATTGAAAAACTGAAAGATCTTATATACAAATGTTTAAATAAATTATTTATTTTGATGGGTAATATTTTTTTTAAGCTTTAAAAACCAAAATACATAAAAAATTTCATCACAGGGGCACTAAGGTAATCATAACATTTCAAAAATATAATTTTTGTAAGTTTTTCCTTCTTTTGATAGCTAAAATAAACTTTTGAACTGTTTGGTAACTGGTAGGTATCTAAAATAATTCTGAATTTGAGTTTTTAATTAGGCTGCTCAATAAACTTTAAAAAAAGTTGTACTTTGTGAGTTATTACTTTTAATTCTAAAAACAGTAATTTATTTTTATGAATTAATTGTATTTGTTTTTCATCAAAAAAGATTTGTAATTTTATTTGCTTACTATAAGTTTTAATTCATCTGGTTGCATTGATGAACTATTAACTACTTCTAAACAGAGTTTGCAAAATTAATGTTGTTTTTTTTTTTAAAAAATCACTTTTATTTGATTTAAATCTGATTTTTTTTATTTAAATCTGATTTTTTTTTATTTAAATTAAATTTTTTTACTTAAAACAGATTTACCACACAGATTTTTATATTTACCAGCCAAATAATTTTTAAAATGTGTTGACAGTGCTTAATATTATTTAAAAACAATAATATAGCTTAAGTAGTTGATATTTCTAACTAAAATGTTTCAAAAATTATAATTTAATTATAAAAAACTTATAACTAATTAAAAAAAACTTTTGTTATATTTAAAAGAGCTAAGCATCCTAAAATTGTAAAGACTAAGTAATAATTTGTTAGTTAATTAGTTTAGATTAGAACACATAAAAAAAATTATTTTAAGTTTCTATGGGCAGAATATGTCTTTCTTCAATATTGGCTAACACTAACTATGTATTTTATATGTTTTAAAAGCATCTAAAGCATTCGGATAAACATAAAACTAAATGGGTATAATTTAAATATGTTTATTATCAACAAATTATTTTACATGCAGCTACTGGAAAATCATTGTTTAACAGTTTAACATTACTCTATTCACTTTTAGTCACTAGTTTTAGATATTTATTAGTCTATTTTGAAAATAATAATTTACCCTTTTTCATTCTTTCTCTGGATAAAACCTTAAATATCAAGAAAATCAGACTTACAAAAGAATCACACCCTAAAGTATATATTTATAAAAAAGAAAATTGACTTAATGATTTATTTTTTTTAAATACCAATTGATTGTTACAAATGACTATTTTAAAAAAACATCAAGTGATTTCAGTCGCAATTTTCATCAATATTTAAATCATGCCAACCCTGCTTTGAAAAACAATGTTAGTTCTTATGTCTTGAAATTATGATTAAATAATTTATATTTCAGTTTGGTTTAAATGAGTTAAAGCTTCGTTTCCGATCAAGACTTACTAAACATCTGTATGACAAATACCTAAGGTAAAGTACTTGTTTTAAAATCTTGTTTGTTTATGAAACTACATTAAACTATAATATTTTATTTTAACATTAAAAAGTGTAATTTATTTATTTCACTTTAAATCGTTATAGTATGGTGCAGAAAGGGGCAGTTTTTTTACCATGTGAGGCCACATTATCATTAAGCAGTGATAAAGGAGACCACATATGTTGATATACCTATAAATTCGACTTTTATGTAAGAATTACCATGAGAGGCCACATTTAAATTAAGCAGTGAAAAAGGAGGCCGCATATGTTGATATACTATAGATGTGACTTTTGTGAAATAATTATAGTTTTATCACTTTATAGCATTGTTTAGAAATAATGTTTAAAAAAACATTAAGTCATTTATGAAATAAAAATTAACAGTATAAAATATTTTTGTACTCATATGAGGATAATAACTTATTAATAGCATTAATATTTAATAATGTTTTAATAAACTACATTGATTTAAGTATTGTTTTGAATAATGTATAAGTATTTTTCAATAAATACTTCTCATTGAGCCTCACCTTCAAAATTGAAATATTTATATTCCTTATGAAATGAGTCAAATAGTGTTTATTTGTATTCATTTTTTTTTTCAAAGTAGTTATTAAATGTTCTATTTTCTTCATTTTATTCCCTTTTTATTTAAAATAAAGAAAAAATTTGTACCAAATAGTATTTTTAAGAAAGCATATACTTAATGAAAATACATGAAAACCATGTATTATAATAGCAGAATTGGTAAAGTAATACATAGTTTTTCACAATGGCCGATAGCAATACGACCTGAAACAACAGATTTATTGTATTTCAAATAGGGGTAAGCCATGGCCAAAAAAATAGGAACATAACAGAAGAATTTTTGTTGCTTGACATTGGCAAACTGAAAAAGTGGTTAGAATGGAAACTAATTCAGACTATGGCATGCTGCTGCTGCTAAAACTACAACAATGCAGCATTATATTTCATGTTATGCTCAATGGATGATAACACATTTTTTAATTCTATAAATTTTCAAATTGTAATAATCTATATAATTAAATTTTAATTAATATAAGAGCTGGGGGCTGCACAAGAAGCTCACAGAAGTTGCCTGTGGTATCAAGGCAGCAAGTTCTCCACCTCTGGTATAGTGTTTAATATTGCTATGGGGAATTCAAAAAATAAAATTATTTGATGTATCTTTACTAATTTGTTTGAACTTGTAACTTTAATATTTCTTCTTAATTTATATAAATATATTTTATTTATATTTTTAGTATAAATATATTTTATTTATATTTTCAGTATAAATATATTTTATTATATTTTTTTGAGCAAATGAGATATCTGTGTATTATATTTTTTTTCAGCGGCATAACTTATTACAAAATGAGTAACATTGACAATAGGATAGCCAATCCTGATCAGCTTTTGACTCAGGATGTTGATAAATTTTGCAATTCTGTTGTTGAGCTATATTCAAATATAAGCAAAGTAAGTTTTTATTTCAAGTTTGATGGGTTTTTTTTTCTCTTCTTTTTTCTAATTCAATTGTTTATTTCTAGCCTCTTCTTGACATTATAATCTTCGTTCAAAGATTGTCTTCAGACATTGGGGCTGAGGTAACTTTTAAAAATTTAATAATAATAACATATACATCTATATATATATTTGTATAATGTATTTATCCCATTAAAATATTTTTACCACTATTAATATGTAATTTGAATTCATAGTTTATCATTTTTTTTAGAGATAAGGTTGTGCTGTTTTTTTTTTTTTTTTTTTTTTTTTTTTTTTTTTTTTTTTTTTTTTTTTGTAGTAAGAGTTAAAATTATTTTGCAAAATATTCACCCATATTAAACAACCTAGAAAATTATTAAAATTTAATTTTTTAAAACCTTTTTGCTGGTATTTGCCCTTAAAAAGCAAATTTATTATTATAACTTATCAAATACTTTCTTATTGAACTAATTTCAATTTTCTTGTAAGTGGCAGTAAAAGTTTTAGAAATAACTTATTTATGCAGCCACAATATAAAAGGAATTTATATTGTGAAGAGAAATATAATAATTTAATTGGTGTCAGTTCTTATATTATATTGAATATATCTTTTAAAATTTTTATCTTTTCAAATCATAAAAAGTTTACATTATGTATACAAATTTGTTTTAGGGTCCTTCTCTAATGATTGCTTATTTAATACTAGCTGGTCTTGTTCTCACAAGGTAAGTTTAGTAAGACTTATAATTCTTATACATTGTTTTTTTATGCAAAGCATACAAAATATAAACAATTTTTACTCTGAATATCTTTTGAACTAACGATCAAATTATACTTTTTTTTTTCACTGGACTTCTTCTACTTACATACTTTCTTTAAAAGAAAATTACATAATGGCATTTATGATGCTAAAATTCTTACTCTCTAACCTTACCTTTTCAAATATCTGTCACTTTCTTGTCAGTAATTATGAAGGTTTAAACTTCCTCCTTCCTTATAAACTGGTTTTCCACTCCTTTTTTTCTTAATTTTTAAGAACATTTTTTTTTCTGTATAAGAACTGTTTTATTGTTAGGCATGAAACCCATTTTAAAAAATTCAAAATGCTGTAATGCCCTATGACTTTTTTTAGTTTGTATTAAATAAGATTTTCTAGATACTTTTCAGATTTTCTATTTAATATTCATGCAAAGTTTCAAGCTAATTAAAGCTTATTATCAAGCCATTTTTTAACCAAGTTTATTTAAAATGTCAATTAATTAGAATAAACTTTTGAAATTTGTTTCATAATAAATTCATAATTTCAAATTTAATAAGAACCTGAAATTTCAGAAGTAGTATTTAAAAAATAATTAAATATTTTAAAATTTTATTGAATTTTGACTTAAGTTTATATTTTCACTTTACTTTGGGTGTTATATTTAAAACAGTTAATCACTAAAGTTATGTAAACCAATCATATCAACAATTTCTGTAGAAGTTATGATTGCATTTAAGCATTGTTGCTTTAATTTTCACTTAGGGATGAATTTTTAAAATGCCTCAATAAAATTTTTTTTGCATGTTATTATTTTTGTATGAGAAATTGATTATAGTGCCATTTGTTTTTGTTACTTTGAATAGATAATATCACAACTGTTTATTAATTATAGCGTAGTTTAGTGCCACATCTGGCTCTCAACTAATAAAGCTAAAACTTTTTTACTATTTAAAAGTATTGAATTAACTTTTAAAAATAACTTTTTTCCTTATCTAAGAATTTCATCATTATTCATATCCAGTTAATGAATATTTTTTGAAGTTTTTATCTTTCAAATATGTATTTCTAAGGTTTACTGAAACTTTTTATGCCATAAATGTATAAAGAACTTTTATTTTAAATATATAAAAATGTAAATGTATAAAGATGTGCATAAATGTATAAAGATAACTTTTATTTAATCATAGTTTAGTGCCACATCTTAGCCATTAAACCTAAAAAAGATTTTATCATTTAAAAGTTTTTAATTATTTTTTAAAAATATTTTTTTCCATATCTAAGAATGTCATCAATATCCATGTCCAATTAATAAATATTATTCAATATTTTTTTCTTTCAAACATAAATTTCTAAGGTTTACTGGAACTTCTTATGCTATAAAAGTATGAAGATAACTTTTATTTTAAACTGAAGTGTTAGTAGCTTATGAAAATACTAAATAAATTATTTTTGCTGTTCTCCTTATTTTCTTTTAAATTCTTATATGTGGAACATTCATTTAACTTGGTTGATTGTTTCTATCCATTTTATTGGTACATTTAATATATACAGTCAATAAAAAAAATAGCTCATTCTATAATAATTTCCAAACTAATGCAAATTATTAAGTGTTTTAATTACATACATTTCAAAGGAAAAAAATTTAGATGTTTTGAAAGGTAATCTTACGTGCAAAAGTTCTGATGTATTTGGGGCACTTACTACCTCAGCATAATATAATTGCTTTACTATTATGCCAGAAATTTTTGATTTAGTAAAATAACCTATTTTCTGTTTTATGTATATGTTTACTTTTTTAGTTAAATAAGAAATAACATATTTACTTTTTATGTATTGAATTATTATTTGATTAAACCTGATGTTTAAGGTAAGTCATTTCACAGACATATATAAATGAATACATTTTCTCTCTCTCTTCTGGAAAAAATTGTTTCCTAATTTTTATTTTATGTTTTGAAGTTAAAATGAATTAGTAGATTTTAAAGTTGATGCATAAAAAACATAATTGAAAACTTTTGTAATTTTTTATCTTCATAATTTTTTTTTTTTTTTTTTTTTTTTTTTTTTTTTTACATTTTAGACACCGTTTCATTAAAATTGCATTTGTTTAACAATTGTTTTGGTTTCTATGAGTTCAAACTCAAATCTCTTCATGGGTTATATTACTTAGAAATACTATTTTTTTAAATATGTTTATTTCTTTTTGGTTTCTGATGAAACATTAAATAAAAGAAGGTCATAGTAGTTAAGATTATTACTTAATTACCTTTTCATTTTTTTCATTTTTGTTAACATTTTTATTTGTTAACATAACATTTGTATTCATTTTTGTTTTCATTTTTGTAAAAAAATTTCATTTTTGTTAACATTATTGAATATTGCTACCTCTGTTACTACTGTTACCTTTGGAGAAATATTTTTATATTTAAGTTATGTTAACTTAATTTAAAAAATTACTGTGTTTAAATCATTTTTCAAAAAATTATTAGAACACAAATTTATACATTATGTGTTTCTTGAATTCATCAATTCTAATAAAATGTTAATCAATTTTGTTTAATCAATTGTCTTTATTACTGCCTGTATCAGTAATTATTCATTATTGTTTTGTTGTTATGAGCATTATTGTTTATTACAAGTAATCAAGCTACTTTTTATGGAAAAATTTTAATACAGCATTTTCTATCTTTTATCTTCTTGTAGACTTAGAAGGCCGATTGGTAAAATGACGATGACTGAGCAGAAACTGGAAGGAGAATTGAGATATGTTAATTCTAGAATAATTACTAATAGGTATAATTGAGATCTGTAAATTTTTAAGTTTGAAATTTTTTAAATTTATTTAAAAATATTTTAAATTATTCTTGTGTCTGATAAAATCAGCTATTTTATGATATAGCATTGCTTTGAATAATACATATTTGTATATAGCATTGCTTCTATAATAATGTAGAGTTGCTATTTATTGACTAGAAATAACTTGTGCTCATATAGTACAAAATTTAAATGCTAACGGAAATACCACAACCAGACTTATGAATGAACAAGGAAACATTACTACTTATTACATATTAACATGTGATAGAGATGACGTGTTTTGGTCATCACTAAGTGTTTATAAAAATTTCAGTTCAGTTCTGCGACTCACCTAGTCCTGTTGTTTTGTCAGATTCCTTCCATAAGGTTTTTCTTAATAATGCATAAATCTTATGAGTCTTAGTACAAATCCTTGTCTCCAAAATTAACCAAATGAAAAAATGGATTTAAGCCTAGTTAATAAGTTTCTCATTCTCCTGTGGTAAGAAAGTTTAAAAAATTTTCATGGCATTCTTCTTGATTCTCTGTGTACTGGAGCATATTCATGATGAGAAGGTCTATTTTTGATTTTCAAAACCTTTTAAAACTTAACTCTACTTATTTGTTGTATCTCATATATGTCGCACTAGAGCTGCACAATGAGCTATTGGCGACGGTCTGGGAAACATCACTGAGGATGACCCGAAGACACGCCATCACAATTTTGATCCTCTGCAGAGGGGATGGACCCCCGATTCAGTAGCCCAATGAACTGCATGCGAAGTCGAGCACTTTACGGTAGAACAGTTTAACGAGGACCAATACCACACCCCCTCGGTCCCTACACAAACTGATCAAAGTGGTCACCTACCCACACACTGACCGCAATCATTGATGCAACAACAACAATCTACTTACTTAAACTCTAATGAAATATAACATCTTTCAAAATGAGTTTTCTGTATGTTGCAATTGAAATATTTGATTTTGAACTTTATACACTTTTTTTATTATATTTTATATTTATTAATAATTGATGTAGCTAACGATTCATGTATACATTTATCTGTATATTTATAACATATCTTTTTATTAAAGTGAAGAAATAGCATTTTATCAGGGTCATGGTAAAGAAAAAGTTACCATGCTACATTCATTTCAAAGACTGGTAAGTTTCTAGTATTTATATTGTTAATATATAAATGGTCATTCAGTAGTATTTTGTAACATAAATTCTTATTTTCTTTATTTTAGATTAATCACCTGAGAATGTCTCATCATTTCAATTTTTCAATGGGATACATTGATAATATTGTTGCTCGCTGTAAGTTAAAATTAGACATGTTTTACAATTTACAACTCATAATTCACTCGTTTTATGATTACGAATTATTTCAATGTGGTTAAAAACTTTTATATATATTTAAGTTTCTTGAAAATGTATACGTCTCTGTATTTCAACTTTAAAAATATTCAAAAAGTTATTCAATCGTTGTTTGTTTTAAATGTGTTTTAATGATTATATAATTGAACTTCTTATTCAAATTCTTTGTTAAAGCTGTTCTTTGATGTTTCTGTCATTGCATGAAATAACATTTATTTAGCGAATGATGTGCTATTTTGATATTTGTTATGACTTTATAACAGCTGTTGACGGTTGATTAAGGTTTATCCATTTTAAGCCAGCTTTTTCTGTGCAAATTATGAAAATGGTATAAAAGGTCATTATGAAGATCTAAACTTAGAGAAAAACGAGTTTGTGATGTAATTTTTTTAATTTTAAAAGTTACTGCAAAGCTGCCTTGTTTTGGAACTCCTGAAATATGAAAGAAAAATTTTAAAATATATATTGAGTTTTTTTTTAAAAAAAATTATTATTCATCAATTTTAATCATTTTTATCTGAGTGCAAAAATCTTTCTGAACTGAACAATTATCTTTAAATATTTATTTTAGCAGATCTGTTTAAGAAACAAAATTTCAATTAAGTTCATATTATTTGAAAAATACAAATTAACATTATTAAGTATTTATATTTTATGTATTTGGGGCAGAGCTAGGTTTTTTTCTTCATATTTATAGACAATCTTTGATTCTCGATATTTTTTGGCATTTGTAATTTTATATATATTTTTCTTTATTTGTAATTTTTAATTTCTAGATATGTTTTCTCTAATTATTTAATCAAATAAGTGGATAAAAAGCATTAGAAAAAGTGTAATAATCCTCCTTTGTTTGGATAAAGCTTAAAACATGATATATATAGTTAAATAAATTTATATTCTGATATTGCAGGAATGTTTTATTTTTAAATGTTCATTTTAGTTAAAAATTAAAATTTCTTTTGATTAATTTATAGAAGTTTGTATTTTTTTCAAATAAAAAAAATTTTTCTATAGTCAATTTATGTTTTTATTTTTAAAAATACTTGAACTGTAATAAATTTTAATGTAGTTAAAGTATTCTTTATAAAATTTAGGATTCAATAAGTTAAGATTTAAAACCCTAGTGGGGGGGAAAAAACTAATACTACTTAATGATGGGATAATTAGCAAATAATGTACTTTTTATTATCTTTTATAATTTGATATTGTTTATGCTTATTTTATCTTCTGAAAAATTTAATTTATGTCAAAAATTGTTGTCATGTGTAATAAATAACAAATGTCAACACTGAATATTTATTTTATAGTGTGATAAATGTACTTAATTCATGTAATGACTAATAAGTAATGTTTATAATAACTTTGTGTATCCTAATATTTTGTACAAATATTTTTTCTAATTGGCTTACTTTAGATTGGGCTACAGTTGTTGGTTATCTATTGATAAGTAGACCTTTTATAACTTCTAGAAAAGATTCACTTTCTCATGGTGACAGAGTTGAGGTAAGAATTGTATTAATTTTATTATTCGTTTCCCAAAAACTTCATGTGCAAATTAAAATAATTTTTTCTTCAATATCTTTTGAAACATTGCTTTATTTTCGTTAATTATGTCAAATTTTGCAGTAATATCTTAATTATTAATTGATAGATCTTTAATTTATGATTATGAATTTTTAAATTTTTTAAGCAGATTTATTTTTTGTTTTATTTTTTATTGTTTAGCTTGTAGCTGTATTTGCCATTTTTTATAATTTATTATAAACCTCTATAGAAAATTAATTATAAAAATTATTTTGAAGCATTCCTAAAATTATTAGAGGTACAATGTAGTAACAATTTAATTATATTTTATAATTGGAACCATTTTGAATTTACAACTATCAATATTCAACTTCGTAGCCTTGTAATTTTGAATTCAAGCCAATGTTGGCTTTAAAGTCATTTTTAACCACCATATCAGTTGGCAGTTAAAATATTGCTGCTTTCAGCATCATCTTGAGTTATTGCTTTCTCACTCATCTACTTTTTTCTTATGAAAATAAAAACATTCATTTATAGCATTTATTTCATTAATTGTTTTTTTGTTATAAAGAGCAAATAGTTTAAAGGTATATTAGGTTAGTGATATGAAATGTCAGATTTTTTTAATTTTATAAAACTGCATATCTTTCTTTCAAAAACTGTTTATTAAACAAAATATACTCCATTTGCTTCCATACACTTTTCCCAATGAAATGTCAATTTTGAATGAGCTGTCTGTCTGAAAGAAATTCTGATCTTAACAGAAACTCTAATATGGAATTTTTGATATGGAAATTCTTTTATGGAATTTCTTATTTTGAAACTCAAATATGGAACTCTAATGTAGTGAATAAGCTTATTCACAAGATCTTTCACCAATAGATTATATTTTTAAAATATATTAATATAGATTTTTAAAAATTTAGAGCAGTTTTTAAGAGTTAGAATGTATGAAAATTAAGAACCTGAAAAATTTCATATTAGAGTTTGTTGATTCAAAAAATCAGAATTTTTTTACGACAGGCATTTATGTAATCATGTCTTGTTGGTAAAAGTGTATTCTATTGAAGCAAATGGAGCATATTTTGATTTGCAATTTTTCACATAAAGATATGCAATTTTATATATTCACTAAAAAATCTGACATTTCATGCACACCAACCTAATATATGATTCTTCTATTTGTATTAAACAATATTGTCTATACATTTGATGATTTATTATTGCTAGTTAGTAAAATATCATTTATATTCCAGTTGGTAAGTGTTATACCTAAAATTTTGTAAATGCAGTAATTACTACTTATGATTAAATTATGAATTATTGTGTGGCATATATTTCATATGCAGTAAGTCTGTTCCTGTTTATTGTTAAAAAAAATTATTATTAAAAATATTTTTTAGTCATATTACAGAAGTGGCAGAATGCTGGTTAAATTAGCTGAAGCTATTGGCCGTTTAGTTTTGTCCGGACGTGAATTGACTAGACTAGCAGGGTTCACAGCTCGTATTACACAACTTGTGACTGTTCTCAAAGATTTGAGTCAAGGTTCATATGTTAGAACAATGGTAACAGAACATTCCAAAGCTGCTGGTAATTTCTCTTCTAATTTTTTACTGAAATAAAGTACTTTACGTTTTGAGTTTTGGAGGAAATTAGGTATAATTTCAGTGCATTAAAACAAATTATTTTATAGTATTTTTTTATTTAAAATTTTCTTTTAAATTTAATAAAAGTTTTCAATAATTCATATTTTTATTAGCCGGGAAGCTAAAATTTTTAAAAACCAGGAAATAAGATTAAAACTTTTTTTTTAAAAAATTGTATCTAACATCCTAATCAAAGCTACCTTATTTGAGGATAAAAATGTGTTCTCTGTCACTATAGCATTTTCACCTGTTTTGCAACACTGTAATAATTGTAATAAATTGTAAAACATTGCATTGTACAAATACTTGAATAATATGAAATGTTTAATATGAGGTTTAAATAAATATTCAAAGATTTTGCTTGTGAAACAAAACAAAAGAAATTATTTTAAAGCTATCTTGTACAACGATTTTGAGACTTAAAATAGCTGTACAAAATCAATTAATTGGTTCTGAGTTAATCTTATTATGCATGAATAAGACATTACTTTATTTGTGCATAATTCGCTTAAATAGTTAACAATAATTTAGTAGTTATTTGAACTAATCAAATAATTGACTTGGGATAACTTTATACTTTGTTTTTGAATTTCAGATGTCTCTCTTCAAACAGCTGTAAAAAAGCCTCGACTTATACCAGGATCAGGCAGAATTATTAACAAAAACAACGTAATCAAGTGAGCCACTTTTAAATTTTATTTACTGCTCATATCTAAACACTCATTTTGTATGCCATGAAACCATCCACTCCATAAATAATCAAACATTTCACCATCGGTTGATAAGTGGAAGTTAAAATATCTTTTTAATTATTTGTATTTTTTATTTTAATAAAGTAATTTTGTAGTCAATAATGAGAAAAGAGCTTGTCCATATTTATTGATCCTTGTTTTGTTTTTTTTCGCCGGCCAGGTGGCCGAGTGGTTAGCGCGCCTGACTGCGAGGCCAATGGCTGCCGGTTCGAATCCTGCTCTGGGCATCGATGTTTCTCTCTCTCTCTCTCTGTTGTCTTCTGATGCGTGAATGTATGAATGTGACCCACCCTATGAACGTGTTTTTGTGGCAGTGTGGCGTGGGTAATGTTGCTCACCTCCGTGACTTTGGCTCACAGGTGCCCACTGAGTAACGATAAATGAGCAACACTTCCGGCATCTTCTAAGGCGAAGAACGAAAGTTCAGTGCCTGCCGTTATTAAAAAAAAAATGATCCTTGTTTGATGGTTTAATGTTCAGTAGCAAAAGAATAATCTTAGTTTACTTGTTAAAAACACAATATTTAAGATGTTTGAATGGAGATTTCTATTATAATTTGTTTTGTAAAATGGTTTTGTCTTCTTTAAGGTTTGATCGTGTGCCTTTAGTTACACCAAATGGAGATGTTTTAATCGAGGAGCTTTCATTTGAGGTGTGTATTAACTCTTTTGTAGATAGATTTTCATGTTGTGTACTTAATAATCTAGATGTCTTACTGTCAACCCTCTAGTACCAAAAAATCTGAGACTTCAGGTGAATTTTATGAAATTGGAAGTATAGTTCGTTCACCAGCAGTTGGCACTTGGCTCCAACTCCTTGGACAAAGAGTTCATTTCAGCGCGGAAGTAAGAGGAGAAACGTCTCCACGCTTGAAATTGAGACAACCCTTAATGTGCGCCAAATGCAAACAGTGAATTCTTTTTCAGTCACTTACTTCACTTTATCATCTGCTATTATACCTTTCATCACCCTAGCTAATTAAATATATTGTAGCTGAATTTTCAAAAAGGACAAACTATTCACTCAAAAGGGAGAAATATCATAAAATGTATGAAATTTTTAATGTAAAAAAATGCACTTAAAGATTGTGAAATAAGTATTTTTGTCATACAATCGCCAAACAGCAACCTTGTTCAGGATTGTTTACATCCTTCTCCCAAAAATAGCGAAATAGTATCGTCGGATATAGGGTGATGGAGCCAAGTGCCAGCTCCTGGAGAACAAACTATAATTAGTGCGTTTTTTGTCAAATAATCAATTAGAAAGCAGTAGAGGCTTTAGTTACGATTTTGTGAAATGGTTCATTTAGATGATTTATTGTTAGCACTCTAGCTCCAAAATCTGACTCAAGGGACAGTTTTTATAAAATTTTAGAGAATTAGTGTTATAATACAATGTTTATTTATTGTTGGTCTTTGCTCATTAAAACAAAAACAAAATTTGTTAAGTAATCAATTATTTAACACTAAAAGATTAATTTAATATTTTATTTTAACTGTTTATCAAAATGACTCTCTATTAATCCTTTAGTACCAAATCTGAATCAGGAAATGGTTATTGAAAAAATATCTCTCTACCTAGAGGCAATATTTTTTGTATGCAATCAGTAATTGAATACTTGAGGGTTAAATTAAAGATGCATTAATTTATTTTATTTAGAATAAAATATACAAATGATTGACTCTTTTTACTTTTTAATCTAGGTTAAATCTTCAATGAATGTTCTAGTATTTGGACCTAATGGCTGTGGTAAAAGTTCATTGTTTAGAGTATTAGGTGAGGTGAGTATCACGATTTTTTTTATTGGTTTATTTATTATGTTGTTTTCCATGTGTATTTCTTTGTAGTTGAATTTTTAATCAATTAATTTTATAGCAGGGTTGAAAAAAAATTTCTTTTAAATCTAGGGAATATTATTTTATATTCACTAATAGATCTTAATAGAATCGTAAGAAAATGTTTGGAGGTGGGTACTAGGACCACAAGTTTGAACAAACTGATTTTTTTAGTTAATTTATTTCAAGTGAATCATGTCAACTTTCATAGAAAAAACTGTTTCATGCCAAGAAACACCAAATATTGGAAACAATCATTGTGGTTGGTGAGCAGCAGCGAACAGGAGGCTTAGCCACCTAATAAAAAATTAAAAAATAAATTATTTATTTCGAACTTCAAATGTTGCCATGTTTCGTAGTCTTAGCAATAGCAATATTATTTACTTATATTCCTATGTATGAAACCAAATGCCGAAAAGGTCCTCTCCTTTTCCTCAGTTGAACATACAGCTGTATGTAATTTTTTAATAATAACTAAGTACATATTCATCCACATCCTTTGATAAGCTTAACCACCAAGATATTGGAGAAATTTTTACAGTTACAGTTTTAGTAGTTATATTGCTAGTACTATACATGTAAAAAAGTAAAAAAAAGAAAAAGTAAAAAGATTTTATAATTTGTAAATGTTTAGTGCCATCTGTTGGTAAAAGATAATAACAAAAGTGCTTTTAACACACCTTTATTATTATATAAAAGATTATCCTGTTTCCATTTCTCCATCAATTTTTTAATTTGATGACATTGTTTAAGTAAGAAATTTTTTTGTTATTCTGAGAAAAACATGTTTTTATTCAAAGCAAGTGTTTTAAATGTGACTACCCTAATTCAATCCATCCTAAATCCATCCATTATTAAAGGGCTTAGCTCTTTAACTGTTTTGCCATTAATCAAAAATGTATCATCTCTGCTATATACCTTAAATGATTCACATTGTATGAAGCTTCTTTGTGATCAAGTTAAGATTGCTAATTTTACCTTGAACTGAATTCAAATATTAGCAACTTAAGGGTTAAATGCTATCACTGAAAATTTTACAAAAAAATTATTTTTATTGTTTTGATTACAATTGGCACTAAGTAATTTAAACTTTGATGCCTAAAAGTTGTTTATTCTTAATACAACATTATCTTTTCGCATATAAGGAAAACTGCTCTTTTTTATTACCATTTGAGTTTTAATTTAAACAAAATTATTTTAATTTTGAAAAAAAAATTAAACGAAACAAATTATTATTCTGTTCTTAGTTGTGGCCTTTGTTTGGAGGAACATTGACAAAACCCAGCAAGAACAAACTGTTCTACATACCGCAGGTATTTTTTTTTTCCTTTTTACTTATTATAATTTCTTCTTGTTTATTATTTATAAATGGTAAGACAATCTTAGGTTAGAACTGTGTGCTTAATAAAATTGTGTTTAAACTTTAGTATTTGGTTTAAAAAAGCATAAATGTATAGTGAAATTTTTCCAACTTGTATGTTTTGATTAGATTTTTCAGAAATCTTTCACCTACGATTCACTTTCAGTTTTATTGATGACATTACCGTAACTGTGAAATCTATTTATGGTTTTGAGAACATCTGTGTGGGGAACTTCTTAAAAAAAGTCATTTTTATTTTGATGAAGTGGAGAAAGATTTCAATGTGACCATATATATATACAATATTATATATATATAATATTATATATTAAAATAATTCAATGACGGTTATAAAATAAAAAGGATGAAATAAATAAAAACCTTTTTCTGTGCTTGAAAATCATGAATGTAGCTCTAATGCTCTTTGTAACTGTGTCAGAAAATTTAAATTTATTAATTATTCAATGTCTTTAGATCTCATTACTACATTTCCACAGCGTCTTTGTAATCACATTTGTAGCATTAAGCTTATTTTGGCTATAAGCTTATTTTTATTATTAAGTAGTTTGTTGTTAATCTTAAATGCAGTCCTAAACTCTTTTCAAATCATTCAGAAAATTTAAATTCATTAATTATTTATTTCATTACTAATGAACATCTTAATGACATTCAATTGCCTATAATTTTAAAACAAAAAAAGAGTGAAACAAAAAAGTTTTACTAAATTAAACTAAAAGAAAACAAAATTGAATTTTAAAACTACTTGATCTTGTACTTTTATCGGTTTAATTATGACAGTCCAATTTAGTAGACATATACTGAATAAAAACTTATACTCCATGGTAATAACAGCTATTTTTTGGGACAAAAATCAACTTAGTATAAGTTTAGAGTTTTAAAAAAAAAAAAATTTTTATGAAATTTTCAAGATTTAATATTTTTTTTAAACCTTGAAATTTTACTCTTTTGATATTCAAACTAGTGTGCTTAATTAATAAGTAAAATGGGAAAAATAACATGTTCCAGTTTTTACTGGAGTTAGAACACTAGAAGTATTATCTATAACATTTAACTTTGTTCTCTTTTAATTCAAACTACATTTATATCATTAATTTTTATATTTTACAGAGACCATATATGACTTTAGGCACATTTAGAGATCAAATTATATATCCTGATAGTCATGAGGAAATGATTCGCAAAAGAAAATCTGACCAAGACTTAAAAACTTTATTAGAATGGGTAAAGTTAATTTAGATGATTTTTTATTTAAAATATTGTTGTATAAACTAATAAGTATTTCGATTGTTATATAAGTATTTCAATTATTATGAAAATTTTTATTGGAATATTAAAATGCAGAACTTTCTTCTTATTACAGATTATTACAGTTACAGATTTCTTTTTCAATTTGTCTATTAAACTAATTGTTAATTGATAGCATTTTTAAAATTACTTTTTAATAAAATTACCTTTTAATACAATTTTCATTAAGATTATTTCTTCTTGTCAGGTTCAATTAACATACATCCTCGATCGAGAAGGTGGTTGGGAATCCATAAAAGTAAGATTTTATTTTTAAATTGTATTGCCTTCTTTTATTTTATATGTTTAGCTTTCTAATATAGTAATTTATTTTTTTCTAGGATTGGATGGATTTGCTTAGTGGTGGAGAAAAACAAAGAATTGCTGTAAGTATTTTATATCTTTTTTTTCCTCACTTTTTTTTCTTTTTGTACTTGATTTTTTTTTTTTTGTCCTTGTACTTTTTTTTTGAGTTTTAAAAAGCTACTGTCATTTTTAAAACAAAAATGTTTAACGTAAAACTTAATGTGTTTTAGTATTTACTGCATCTCTTACAAAAAAAAAATTCAATCTCTATAAATTTTTTTAAAAAAAGTAATCCAGTGGAACCCCAATGTTCCCTTTAAGTGCCGATAAGAAATTAATTCAGAGAAGCCTTATTTAACTCATTTGTAATGCGTTTTGGTCAAAACTGTCCAATGATGTAGAAATCACATTCAGAACTTCCAAAATATTAATTTTTACTTTTAGAAGCAGCATCTTGTGGTCGCCAAAATTAAGAAAAAGAAATTACTACCAAACCTATTGTTTCGTTTCTTTAAATAACATTCTTTAAATGATTGGATAATTCCAAGATTCAAAGAATTAAGTTGGCTGGAAAGAACATTACATTTGCTTTTAAAACATCTCGAAACTTGTTTTTAAAAAAAAGAATTTTAAATTATATATATAATACTATCTTTGGTTTTTATCTTTAAATAGTATTCGCTGCTTTTTTATATTTTATATTTACTTTGATATGAGTTTAAGAAAATTTGTATCATAAAATTATAAACAATTAAAAGATTTAAAATCTGCAAACCGTTAATATAGAATTTAGAGAACCTACTGAGTCAATGTAGAATATGACTACAGTTATTCCTCCTAATTGCATTTGTTTTTAATTAAAATGAAATTCCAGCAATTAATTTGAAAGTTTCATATTTTGTGTTTTTCAGATGGCGCGTTTATTTTATCACTGCCCTCAATTTGCTATTCTTGATGAATGCACAAGTGCCGTTAGTGTAGATGTAGAACAAAATATGTATGCTAAATGTCGTGAGGTAAGGAAGCATACTTATTAGTAATAATTACTACAATAAAAGTTAGTGTGTACAGTGAAACTTCTACTTTAAAGTCATCTCTTTCTGCTTACTTTGTTTTGTTTTTTTGTTAATATTTCACTCCTTTTATAATAAAATGTTATTCACTTTTATAGATTGGTATAACTTTGTTTACTGTATCACACAGAAAATCATTATGGAAGCACCATGAGGTAAACCTATTTGTTTATCAGTCATCTGTATGTAGTAATTTTTTTTATTTTCTGAAATTATATTGGGTGTACAAATAAGTTCCTGCCGTTAAAGTTATGTTAAATTTGCAATCCTACATTAAAAAACTTAAACAGCTTTAAGAAGACCATTATAAGATTAAGAAAAGCATCAACCTCAACTAAGTAAAACACTTGTTTGAGTGATACAACTACAAACAGTCGAATGTTAGTACTTATTGCAATATTTAATCATCCAGAGCTATATCTAACAACTCTCAGTTATGAAACAAAAAGTTAAAGTAGTTAAGAGTTAACATCGATCCTTTCAACTTAAGTGAAAGAAAAATTGTAGTTTATTATTATAACTATACCATAGAGAGTGATGTGGTAGGTAAGAAAGAAGAAAGGAAACAATTGCAATAACACTTGAAATAAAGAAAGATAATTTTTTTGTGTACCTTAGAATTTTCTTAATAAATGAAAATAAAACTAACCATGTTCTTATTTTACTAATTTTTGATTAAGGCTCTAATTTAAATTTATCTTTTTAAAAAAAAGAAGAAGAAATTTAGATAAATTTCTTTTCTAACATTGTTTTCTTTCTTCCTACTACTTTTCATTTGTCTGCGTATTATTTTTGAATTGCCAGAGGTTTTTAAAGATGTAAACTTTAAAAAGAAATCACCTTGTGGGTAAAAGTTGGTGTCCCGGGAAAAGAGTTATCTTCAAAACATTGGAAAACGCCATTTTTCAAGATTTGAGTACTGGAGCAATACTTAATGTTAAAACCATTAATTTTGCCTAGACTTTTAAATTACGTACTTCAGCTTCTCAAGTTGTATATATTTAAATATTATATGTTTGACTGAATCAATAATCTTAAAGAAAAGTGAAAAATGTAATATAAATGTTATGTTAAAATTCACATTTATTCCAAACTAATGAACTAAAGTTATCTTTTCCTTATTTTTCTAATCAAAATTTCAAAGCAGCTTTAATTGGATTTGAGTCTACTGCAATTTTAAGCATTTTCTTGTAATTTGTGCCTTGTTGTTAGTTGAAGATTTTGATGTTATATTTTTAAATATCTATTTTTTTGTAACAATTACGAATAAATTTAAAATTATTTATTTATTTTCAGTATGTACTGTACATGGATGGCCGTGGTGCATACGAATTTAAACCCATCGACGAAACAACTGAAGTGAAAGGATCATGATTGAACTAGGTCTGAAAAGATATTTATATTGGTTGTGGCCTTATTTTAATACTCTTTCAGTAGCTACAATTGTATACATATTGATTGATATTTCAATTCCTTGTCTTTCAAACATTCAGTAACTGCTATAGAGTATGATAGATAACGATTTTTGCCACATTGATTTTTTTTAAATAATATTTATAGCATAATTTGTAAAAAAAATTTACAGAGTTTTGAAAAAAATTTTTAAAGTTAACCTTAATCAAATGATATTCCAATGTTTTATTCAGTAGAATCCAATTATCAGACGCCCTCGGGACCAGGGATATGTCAGAAAATCGAAATCCTTGGATGATTAGAGGACCTTTTTAAGTTTATAACCAAATTATGAATGAAATTCCTCCAATTAGGGACTGAAATAAAAAAAAATTCTCATTTGTGTATTGTTCTAGCAAAAGAACAATACAATATCATGAAGAAAAATATCCTCTCCTTTTTGCTTTCTGTTTGATTGCAGTTTTCTTACAACCAAATTTTGGTTTGGTCACCACTGCAGTTACTGAGCAGCAGCATCTGTAATAATAAACAAAACATGCGTTGGATTGTGTTTAATACCAGGCGGTAGAGGTGTCAGTTAACTGAAGTGTTGTATAATCAAGCATCAGATAATTGGGTTTCTACTATATTACCAACATAAAGTTTTGAGTGTTTCTATTTCAATAGATTGCATGTATTTCAATGTATAGTGTATTCTGAAGTATATACTTTCCAAGATTTCTAGTAAAGGAAGTCATAATACACACATTAGAGGTCACAAATTAATATTTATGAGAAAAACATAAATGCTATCAAAATCTAGCAAATCACTTCAGAAGAAGATGAAAACATCAGTGATTAATTAACCACAGGAAACAGAAATATATCAAAGGTTTATCAGGCAATCAAGCTGGTTTTGATGTGGTCAATCCTGTCTTCTTTAGTTATTCATTTATGTTTTTTCTGACTTCAATATTAATTTGCTATCTGTAATGTGCATACTTTTTGTCAAGGATTCAAAAAATACATGTGAAGGGCTGTGTTTATGAAACTTTTTATGAATCTTCGTTATAGTTCTATGTGTTTTACAGCTTTTCCAAGATTCTAAATTTGATTTTATAATAGTTAATGGATTAAAATGATTACAACAAAATTTCAATAGCTGGGTGTAATAATAGCATGTTCTGTTACAAGTCTGGATAGCGTTTTGTTATTTTTTTGACAAATTTTATTAAGTTATCTAACTTCAGTGGTTTGACTATCACCAAATTCTAGCCTTATAAATAAATATAAGCATATTTAAAATAAGACTTAAAATTGCTTATCATACATCAGAATTTCGAATTACCTTATGTATAAGCACAATGTGTTATTGCTATTGTTTATTTACCTATCTGTTAATTTTTCATAGTTTCTATTCTATTTCTTTGTTTTAATCTATTGTGTATACCGGTTATCTTCTGTTCGACAATTTATTTATTGGAAATTGGCACATTTTATACTACAGTTATGCTTCAAATAAAATATATTTTTTACATATGTGTAGTTTTCTTTGTAATGGAACATTCATTTATAAAATTACACGTTTTTTTAAGTCATGTTATAAATAACTTGCAGTCAAGGTTGCAGCCTTGTTTTTTATGTAAGAGGCCAGTGAAAATGACTCCTGGTGGTTGAGTGGTAGCTCTTCATGCTCCCATGCCACAGGTCCTGGATTCAATCCTCGGGCAGGGTTGACTCAGTCTTTCATTCCTTCAGTGGGTCGAGAAAAGAGTATCAAGCATGCTTGGGAACTAAACACTGGGGGTTTCGCCTTCGGCTAACCACCTAACCGGAACACGTGCTTCTGCACCACAGAGCCCAAGAAAACTTAAATGGGCACAGTAGGCCTTGACCCTCTTTGCAGGGCACGTAGCCAAATCTTTGAATCAAAAATAAGCACTTTTTAAAAACTTTTCAAGCACTTTACAAAAATTTTCAAGCACTCAAAAGATTCATATTCAATCAATGATATTATTGAAAAACAAAAACTTTTTATAAACAGTTTTAGCGTTAAAAAAAACCCAAAAAGAAACGGGCGTAAATCGAAACAATCAGTACTTTCCCACATCACCGAGTGAATTCAACTTGACCCTGAATTCAGAACAAAAGTACCCTTACCCCCTACGTCAAAAAAAGTGTTAGAAGTAAAAAATAAAATAAACAAGAATAAAATTAAAAAGAAAAACATTTCATAAGGATCTGTTATTCTCTATCCGAATTGGAGCACTCAGGTTTCGGTTTTAAGCGTGCGCGCATGCGCAAGTCATAACGTGGGTATGACACGCAATCATTCACGCGGACATGAAGTCCGCGTGAATGATTGCGTAGCAAACACCCCATTTTTCGTAAAATTAATGGGATCTACCAGATATCACTGAAGGAAAAAAAATTTATTCGTGAAAAAAAGCACTTTTTAAAAACGCCAGCTGAAAAAAGCACCTTTAAAAGCTTTTAAAAACGAAATCCCCAAAAAAGCACCTTTAAGTACTTTTTACAAACGCTACGCACCCTGTCTTTGGACTGTCGAGCCACTGAGTTTAGTTTAGAGGCCAGTGAAATGCGTATTTAGGAAAATGGACATTTGATTCAGTATGTGAGCATCGTTCTTGGCTAAACTGAATGAAATCGAGCCATTTCATAAACGGAGACTGGGGATGAGAAATGGGTCATATACGACAAGATAGTGTGAAATGATCATGGTCAAAGTGCAGTGAAGCAGTTCAAACTGTGTCCAAACCAGGATAATGACCAGGAAGATTTTGTGCATTAGGTGGGACTGGAGAGAAATAATTTATAAGTTTGAATCTCTACTGTCAACAACTCAACCATTTGAAGTTGGTGATCAATAACGGCCACAATTGGTCAACGAGGTTCTCCATCAAGAAAACACTAGGCCACACAAGTCTCTAATGACTTTCCAGAAACTCCGGGAGCTAGGTTGGCAAGTTTTGATGCAATGCACCATTTAGTTTGCACCTGGCATAAAGCGATTACATTGTTTTTCTTGCAATTCAAAATTTCCTTAGTGATAAGAAATTGCCATCAAGGGAGCTCACCATTGGTGATCAAATATTTAAGACTGGTGAATATGTTTCATCTTTTTAAAATAATTTAGCTATAAATTCAACTAAGTACGCTTAGATTATCGTGACTCATTGAAGCGAAGCCATTTTTCTTTCATTTAGAACAGGCTGCGGTGCGTAGCCACATCTTTCAACAAAAAATAAGTACTTTTTAAGCACTCAAAAAATATTTTTAAGCACTACATACATTAGCAAAATAATTTTCAAAGACTTTATATGATCATGAGAAAATAACTAGTTTCTGAAATAACTAGTTACTCTTTTTCTTGATTATATTAGCCCTCATAAAATGATCAAGAGATTTTTCGGTTTGATATAAGAGGTTGGAAAATGTCTGAAATTGAGAATATCTTGCAAAATGCAGCAGAGTTGCACATGAGAAGGCAATAATCTCACTGAACCCAGCTCAATAGACGCACATATGGACTCTCAAGCATTTCATAAAACATGCAAAATGATAGGCGCTTTCATACGCTATGGACCGACGGTACATCAAAATGGACTGTGAAAACGTTAAATAGAACAATGTGAAAATCACGCTTTTGCATAATACGTGGCGAAAATCAACATGGTAACAAAAAAAAAATTCTTTTTTTTTTAAAAGGGAAAATTAAGCACTTTTTAAAAACACCCAATGAAAAAAGCACCTTTAAGGGCTTTTAAATAATGAAAATCGAAAATAAGCACTTTTTAAAAACGCCACCCACCATGTAGAATAAAAAATGCTGAGTCACTCACTTTTCACTTATTCATTTGACCCCATTTACTTCTAAAAATCTTTTACATTATCATTCAAACTGATGTTGATAAAAAGAAGAAAAAAAATAAAAACTGTTTTAATAAAAATTTTATTACAAATCACTTTTTGAAATATTTAAAGGCATATGAAACAGCAAAAATACAGCTTAAATGAACTTTAATGTCAAAACATAAACAATTTTATAATTTTAAAACCAGATTTCTTTGGCTAAAATTTTAAATTTATATTGAAACAGTTTGATATTTGAGTATGAAAATAAGGGTTTTTAGTTTATCACAGTTGAAGATGACAATGATATAGCTCATCTTAATCATTTGCACATTCATCTACACTAAAATGGAAAATAAGTGAAATTTGTCTCTACAAATAAAGCTGCCAAATAGTCCCACAAACTGTTTATTGATATTTAAAAGTTATGTTTTCAATAACATTGGTTTTGTTTGCAGCATACTGTATTCTGTTTGCAACAATTAGTATTATTTTTAGAATAAGAAAACCTTGACTATTAAAAGAAAATGACAAGCTAAAATATATTCAATGTCTTCTTATAAAAGTCATACATTTAATGCTTAAAAAAGAAAGGACATTGTACAGGCTTTTGCTTAAAATTCCCAAGAATAATAAAGTACAAAAATTGGGAGATTGCACATAAGCTATGTACAAGAATGTAATTTTTAAAAATTCCAGTACAATACAACAATTTAAAATTTCAGTTTTTAGGATTAAAACTTTCTATGATTGAAGTTCATTGGCATAAATTAACAATTTTTCTAGAAAAATATATTATGTTGATTTAAAATCAGATTTAACATAAATTTTTAATTGCATCTATATTTTAAAAAATTTGGCTGAATTCCAGATGTAGAATACTTAATAAAACTGCCTATTTTAAAATTAAATTTCACAAAATATCTAAGAAAAACTAAACCTTGATTTATTTGTCTGGTGTCAAAATATGCACGGATGACTAGAGAAAGCCGATCAACAAATGATTATTTACCTTTTAACTTTAAATAATAAAAAGATTTAAATTATAAAAATATTTAAGATCAAAATGCACCAGAGTAATAACTCAAGGTTTATAACAAAAACAAATGCTGATGAATGCAATAGTTATTTTTAAAAAAATATGAATAAATTATCTTAATTGCAAAAGAAAATCAGACAACACACATGAAATATTCCAAGATCTAACACAAAGTATGGAATGTTAGCATTAGGTATTATGAACTCTAAAGAAAACTCGATAAAAACAGTAGTGATGACAATCCACAAGTTAATGACCAAGCACTGAGCTTTTTCATAGTTCTATCAATAGTTTGACGATAGCTAAACTTTCATAAAATCCGAAGTTATTAGTTCCTCGGTAGGCACTGTCGTTATGTAACTATACAAAAAATATCACCATATCAGATCATACACACATCCCACTCTAGCTAAAAAAAGCTTTGCCATTATTGCAGCTGTATGGCTCAAGTCAACAATTTAATCACCTCCTCAATAATTAGCTCTTGCAATTTGAAAGGTAAACATAGCTGCCAATGCAATCAGGAATAAGTTGTATATGGGTGTTGAAGATGCATTTACACCATCTGTAAGCTCGTTGCATTTACTGCCACAATCTTCACCCTCGCAGACTTCGCACAGTGTAACAGACTTTGGTTCATAAAACATTCTGGCACTTTTGGCTGAAATAATAATGAATGAAATGTAAAAATTTGTAATACTAAATATATTGTGTATAATGAGCTGCCATTTAAGTTTGGATTTTTTAAACACAGAATTTAGCTGACATAGAATTTTAGGTTAATTATTCTTTTTAAAGTGGTAGAATATCTTTTTCATTCAGAACAAACTTTGAATCATGAGGCTTTGCATTGTATAAAATTTTGTGCTATATATTAAACTTTTCATACATTAAACTTTTGTATTAAACATAGAAATGTATATCTGAAACAGATCAGTATTACTGGTTTAAAACAACTTTAAAGGTTAATACTTAAAACACAGAAAAATGCACTTAAATATTCATTGTTTTCAGAAAAAATTTATATTATAAGCAATAGAGCTAACAACCAACAAATTTATCAATTTTGGATTGCTTTAGAGATTAAGTTAATGCTTTATGAAAAATTACATTGACTAATACTTCAATACAATAAAACCTCTCGGGAGTGACCACTCTCCGTTCCAGTGTAAAATGGTTGTTTATGGAGGTTGGTCGTTGATAAAACCCCCCATTGATTTCAAAATTGTTATCGATTGAAGGTACATGATTTTTCCCAAAAGATTTCAATTTTAATCAGTGTCATTTTCTTGGTGCGGATATGCTACTTCTGTTGACATTGTGAAAAGATAAATCAATGCATAAAATTTAAGGTCTATAAAAATGATCCCAACTGATATAATTATGTGTAAAAACAACTGTACCAATTATGAATGATAAAGTTATTTTATATAAACAATAATATTTTTTGCTTAATTTTGCATTTATATTTTATAACAAAAAAAATTAGTTAGCTTTAAAAGATGAAGTTTGTTTGAGATGCCTGTTTTATCATAATAACTTTTTGTTTTTCTGGTTTAACTTTAAATTCTAAAAGTAAATCATTGATAGCATTGTCTTTAGTGCACTCTTTGCAACATGAGGGTGTATCGTCAAAAAGAGCTTTAAATAAGAGCCTCACACAAATAGTTTGAACACATTTCAATAAACTCATTTGTTTTGTTAAATTTTTTGTTTTAATATTTTTCGTGTTTCCTCATTTGACCTTTTCCACATTTGGTGCAGATGTTTAGTCGGTTGCTTGGAGAGGTTTCAATGGTCTCTCCTAAAGGTTTTCCTCAACACAAAGTTAATGGAAAAAATTCTGTGCCTCCCAAAGGTAGCCGTAAATGGAAGTAGTCTCTACATAGAAGTGGTCTTTCCTAGAAGTTTCACTATACTATTATTGTTATCAACAAAGCATTGCAATTCAATGTTATTAAAAAAAAAATTTCTTTTAAAAATTTTGTTTAATTAAACAAAAATAATACATAATTTAGAATAACTCTTTGCTTAAAAATGATGACTTTTAATAAATAGTACCAACCTACATTTTTGTAGATTAAACACGTGCATTTTTCTTTCACTACAGATATAGCAGAGATGAGGCTACTTGTAAAAATAAGTGTTGCTGTCAACTGATATTATAAAATATCCATTTAATCTACAACTAATCTACATAAAAAGAATTAAAACTTTTATGTACAATTATTTTAAGTAGTAAATTTCTTATAAAATGTGGGTAATCGTGTTTTACTTCCAAGATCTTTACAATTATATAATTAATTTTCGAATAGGAAATGTTTAAGTTTTTAGGCTTTGTATTTATTATTTATTGATCAAAAATATTTTTAGACATTTAAATATCTTACATTGATTAATCTCACAAACAAATACTGATTTACCTATATATACTTTTTGCTACATACCTCCTTTGTTTATTTTATTTCATGCTCTTTATGGGAATCATCTATATATAGTTAATTTAAAATAAATTTTATTTATCACAGTAACAAAAGTTTTATTGTAAACAGGAAGAGTACTCACATAAATCATAATAATCATACACTTTAACAGGCACAGGTTTAGGATTGGCTACTTTGTGACTTCTGAAAGCAGGGACATGAACACAGACTTCTTCATTGTCAATCTAAAAAAAAATTCATGGATATATATATCACTCATATTATAAATCATGTCTTCCAGGCAGAATTCAGTTATTTTTCCTTGATTATAAAAATGAAATAAAATAACAAATTATTATTGACATTTTTTTTACATTACTTTAAATTAACGTTATATTTGTAATCTATTGCTCAAAATCATGATGCATATTAAAGTTGCAAAGAAAATTTAGCAATGCATAGCATATAACTTTATTTTCGTACTTCTAAATTGGTATTCTTAATTGAAAACTTATTACGGCAAGAATAAAACAAAAAACAAGGAAATTCAAAGGACTTATTGGTAAGATAGAATAACAAGCTAATACTTTAAGTTTTTTTGACAAAATAAAGTGATGGCCAAATTTATTTTCAAGTCTTTGAAACATATAAACACTGCTTTTGTAATAATTATTACAAAATATATAATTTATGTTTAAATATATAATTGTGTTTAATTTAAATTTTCTTGAAATCTCTTTTAAAGTTTTTAGTTAAAATGAGAAAATTTTCCCTACACCAAATTTTAATATATTTTGTAATATATTAAAATTAGTAATAACAACATTTAACATTGAAGTTTATACTTTAACATAATAAAAATTCAACATTATGTATGAAAGTTTTACAAAATGAAAATTTACCCTGTCAAAGTATATGACAACATTGGTATCACCCTCATTTGTTTCAACTCTCTTTATTTTGTCTAAATTCTTTATCATGGGTAAAATTTCTGTATCAGCCTCAAATCCAGAAGGAAGACCAACTTCCATTACAGCCATATTACTAGCTCCACTCTCTTTGTAGCTGAAATAATATAAAATTATCTATTGTTATTTATGAACAAAATTCAAACTATTGTTATAAAAAAGAAAACATTTACGACAAAAGCAGAGATAATTATTTCCTATATAAGATAAAATTACACAAAATAGAAATTATAGCATTCCAACCAAAGCAAATTGTAATGTAAGATTCTTACATCACACAACAAAGCAACCAATGGACAACTTTGAAAAACTTCTCTTCCCCTTAAAAAAATTTTTGGCATAATTTTTTTTTTTTAATTTTTACCCAACCAAATTTTTATAAATATGTTATTTTTTAAACCAAAATTTTATAAATATTTTATTTTTTAAACCAAAATTTTCTAAATATTTTATTTCTTAAACCAAAATTTTCTAAATATTTTATATCTTAAACCAAAATTTTCTAAATATTTTATTTTTCAAATCCAAAACCTTTTATTCTTCAAATCTATTTTTCTTAAAAAAATCTGCATTTGTATTGCAGAAAATTGGATTCTCTGAAAGCACACAAAAATTAGGTACCTCAAAACAAGAAGATAAAAATCAGAATTTATTAAATATCAAGAAAATCAGAAATATCAGGACAAATATGAACCTAATGTACTGATACCTAAAAATATTTGTCAAATGCTTCTATTTTAACTCAAAATTCTTCCTTTTATGCCAAGTAATATTAAAAAATTTAAAGAATAAGATAAAAAATACATTAGAAATTGTGATAAAATATTACCGAGTGCAAATATCTAGCTCCATGTAATCATCGGTGGAGGCTTTGCCCAAAACAGGTTTTAATGAGAAAGCGGGAGTGACATCAGTAACAGCAACATTGTATGACCATGTGACCTGCAATTCAAAACTATAATTAATGGAATACTTTTTATTCTATATAATTTGTAGTTGTTTGCATATACTTTCTGTGCTCAATGATTTTTTTTTTAATTATTTAGCTTATGAACACTTTCATACCTGCCAACTTTCACTCCTTCCGAGAATGGATTTTCAGAGTGGTTGTAAAACAATAACCGAAAATCAATCTGATTCAAAAATATATTTATATTTTGATCCCGATGAAAATAGCTTGCGTAAAGATTATGCTTTCATATATTTATTGTAATTATTTATATGTAGTGGTGGTCAGACTCATTTATAATTATCATTATAATTCAAAAAGTTAATTGGAATAACCTGAGTATTGCTACCACTTTAAATATGAAAATAAAATCTTCCGGAAGAGTTGGTAGGTATGCACTTTAATGAGAAAGAAAACGTAAATTTATTAAATGGTTATAATTGGCTGTCATGCATACTATTTATTTTATAACTACGATTGACCTATTTATGAGTTTACAACTACTAATGTTCAACAATGTAGTCTAGTAATTTTGAACTCAACTCAGAAGACAAGGGAGCCTCTCGAATGAGCATTATTAAACTAGATTACATAGTGAACTTTCAGATGGAACTAACCTGTATTTATGTTAAATGTCCACCAGTGAGGAAATTTTGCAATGCACTGTGGCCAGTGGGAGCAAGTGACAGGATTTTTAACAATCTATTATCACTGGAATTTAGACTTTAATCACCTTAATGGAAGGCAAGCCCTTCATCTTTGGCCACTGTGACTCATGCATACTATTTTATTACTAGCTACTGTGACTCGTGCATACTATTTTATTTTATTACCAGCCACTGTGACTCATGCATACTATTTTATTTTATTACCAGCCACTGCGACTCATGCATACTATTTTATTTTATTATTAGCGTTGAGCAGCCAACTCATTTTTGAGTTTACGGCTATCATTGTTTAATTCTGTAATCTTGCAATTTTGAACCCAACCCAGTAGACAAAGAAACACACATTTCAAGAAACAAAAACTAAAAATTTAACCAAATATTCAAAAGACCCGAAAATAAAAACGAAATTTCACATTAAAAGTTCTTGGTGCGAAAAGTAAATATATTAAATTTTATGAATAAGTTTTCGTAGTTGGTAACCTTCACTGCATGAATAATTGATGGAGTAGTTAGAATTTATTTCTACTAAGGTTTTTCCACTAAAAGGATCCAGAATATCCAAAATATTTTATCACTGGCAGTGAACTAAAGCCAAAATCCTTTATTTTAAAAAAATGTTTTTAATGAGAAACATTTCATTACTAATAATATTATTTAAACACTGCACATTCCATCACTAACAAAATTTTAAAAAATGCATATCTCAACAAAAAACTTTAAATATTTCGACTAGAAAATTAAATTCTCACCTGAACTAGACCAACTCCAAAACCTTCAGCTTGAAGAGCAACAGATCTGACATCAGAAGGTAACTATTGGTATGGAAAAAATATATATTAAATTCTTGAAAAAAAAGGTACAACTAAAAAAATCTGAATTAATAAAAAAGTAACTTACAATAACATTCTGAAGCACCATGGCATTATCAGAATTAATGCTTAATGTTTTCTGCATATCATTGAAGTTGTAAGAGATGTTAATAGATATTGAAGCTGAAGCGAGTCTGACGCCCAAAGAAGCCAAGGCTTGGATACCAACGACTGTGTCCTAAAATGAAAAAATATTTTGTAACTTAAAAATATTCCTATGTATTAGTCAAAAATATAAGTCTTGTCGGCAATGATGTAATTTTAAAGCATTTCAAATATATAATAGAAATTTTATGATACAAGTCTTTAGAGAATACAGTAATAAGCTACATTTTTTCAAAAGTGGTGTTTTTACATAATTATTTCTAGAAAGGTAATTCAGGAGTTTCTGCCATTTGGCCAATATAATATGAGGCCTTCATTTTGGCCAATATAATATGAGGCCTATTATATTGGCCAAAGCCTTTTAATTTTTCAATTATTCTCAGTAATAGTTTCATTCTATTTGTTGTTACAGTTACAAAATAGTATACTAACACAACATGAATAATTTATCAGCATTACAAAACTAACTAAAATTACTTAATTCCTAGACTAGAGAAGAAAATCTACCTAATTGTGAATCTTTGGATATGTGATTAATTTTAATCAGAAGCACAATATAATTATATTATGTCTAAAAATTCTGCTTGAAGAAAAACTAACCACATTTATTTGAAGCAGCTTTCTTTTACATCTGCATGCAATCACAATGTTCTAATTGGAGGCTGAGTTTCAATCCAAAAAGGCTATAAATATAAACTAATCCTTAACTCAAATGTTCTTTTCTATTAGGCCTTTCCCAGTGTACATTTCAATTGAGTTTCTCTCTGTGTAATGTACTAATAAATAAGTTATTCTCCGATCCACTATCTGATTTATCCGAATACGATTCATCCTCCGATTAGTACAATGCTTGCTTTGTAGTAGTTAATATGGACTGAAGCAACTATCACACCACTGTGCTAGATATAAAAAAATTGAATGCAAATGTGCAAAGAAAACACTAGATAAGTTTTAACCCAGACCTAGCTGAAGGCTACATGGCATATTAGGTATGAAATAAATAACATTTTAGAAAGGATAGGAAATCAGAAATTTTAATATTTTCTTACAGTTGCTATTTCAAAATATTTTAATCCATACCTAGCCGAAAGCAACAAAGGATGATAGATATAATGTAAAAATAACACTTTTAAGACTTACCTGAGTGGAAGAGTATCCTCCATATTCATTTTGTTGGGAGATCATCCACCTAAGAATGGGTAAGGCTCCGGCAACATCTCCTCGCACAGAGTATGTCAACAAGGCATAAGCAGTCATCTCTACATCTTGGGATTGAGGTTCGTAGTAAGGCATAGAGTTGTCCTTTGGTTTTTGCCAGTGGATGGTATCAACTGAATTGAGATTAGAAAATTAAATTAATGATAAACTTTAAATGAGATATCACTACAAGAATTTTAGACAAAGCAATAATTTCAGACACTATATTAAGACAACAAATCAAACTTTGGAAAATTAGGAGCAAATGCTCACAGTAAAAACAAATATTACACCAAATTTATTTACACAATGGAAACACTACTTAAATTACACAAAGCTTTTCTAACTACTTAAACTTAAGATAAAAGATTGCACAATCTAGAATGCATAAGAATTTTAAAGAATAATGTATCCAACATTTTAAAAGATCATATTGATATTCATGCAGACATCCATGACAGATCGAGTAGGTGGAATGAAATTGTCCGGTTGTATCTATGATAGATTTCTGTATGAAAGAATTCTTACAAACAATAATTGGAATGAGATATCCATTGTGGGATAATATATTAAGTAGTGACCAATAAAAATTATTGCAAACTAGAGATGAATAAATGAAAAAAGAGTGATTAAATTCACTTTGAACTGAAATTCATGCTTGCAGCATGTGGCCATTGTTCAGAAAATTGCTGTTCAGAAGTTGGTCCTCAAGTAAATCTTATGAAAAAAGTTTAGTTCCATTAAAATATGTTCGGTTTTCCGAGATTGTCGTTATTTAGAGGTGATACTTAAAGGAGGCTTAACTGTAAATTTAATACTGCAAATTCTCACCTTTAACATCGTTTGACTTTATTATTGATGTAAAAATAATAAGTTTTCTACAAAATGAAAACAGAAAAAGCAAATTACCTCCTCTTGTTGATAAACTCAGCAGTTTCTGAAGAGCTGTATCTTTCTCCTCATGCTCAGATAAATGGAATGCATATGTAACAATAGACACAAAATAAGGGTCCTGAGAGTTTTTCAATTCTCTCAAAAGGTACTTTGTAGCTTTGTCCATTTCTTGAGCAAAAGTTTTTTGCGCCTACCAGAAAAGAATCAAACTTAATTTTGTTCTCTTTGAAAGCTTCATTGAGAGAAAAGTAAAATTTAAATTTATGTACCTGATTTTCTAAGAAAGCAAGAAGAACGTATGCCGTTAAGGCACTCTTGCTTCCAGAACCTCCCTAAAAAAAGATTAAATGATTAGTATTATCTTAGATGGATGAGTTTTGTATAAAATCAAAAAAGCTGAAAATAGAAATCTAAAAATATTATGCATAAAACACTTTCTAAATGGTTGAAAAAATACACGAAATTTGAGCAAGAAAAAAAGATGTAGGAAGCATATATCAATAAAATATTACGAACGTTTTGATAAAAATTGTCCTTGCATGATTAATTTATTATTTTTAAATTGTATGAATACAAACCAGAATGTGATGCTTAAATCATGTAAATACGAATCCCAAAGCGTGATTTTTAAATCTCCTGAATACAAATCATGGTTTAAATAATGCATGGTTTATTTTATTACATGATTGAATCTGATTTTTAATTTGTGTGAAGATAAAATCTCAACATGAAACTTGGAATCACGTGAATATGTCATGATACATAGTTTCAAATTGCATGCAATTTTCATTTTAGTGAATGTGAATCGCGATTAGTTATTTTAAATCTCGTGAACGTAATTTTAAATAGCATTTACATAAATAGGAGATAGAGTAAAAAATTAAATATTTTTTAAGAATTCGGAAAAAAACAATTTTTTTTTTTAAAAAAAGGGAGAATCTACATTTATTAACTGAAAAAATGGAAATTCGTACAAAAAGCGGAAAAAATGTCATTGTGCAATTACACTTATTTAATTAACCAAATTATTATTATATTTAAATACAAATCTAGTATTGCGCTCTGTTAAAGATGCAGCAATTGAAATAATCTCCAAAACCTTATATCACAAGTTTATATATTAAATGACACACCAACAATACATAAATTAATACAAATTGATGAAAATAACACTCAAAATATTTTACCTGCATTGCTTTATGATGAATTTCTCCTGGTTCATCAAATGAACCATCAGATTTTTGCTGTCTGGACAACCATTCTAATGCAGAAGTCATTACACCATCATCAATTTCCATAAATTCTTTAGCCTGATGGAATGATCGAACAACAAATGCTGTAAGCCTAAAGAGTTAAAAAAAATTATAAATCAAAATGATACATAAATTTACATACCTGCCAAAATTGGAGAAATAAAATAACACAGATTTTGCTAGTAACATTTTTTAGGCTTCGAGTAACGTTTTGATACATCATGCAAAATCATGTGCAAATTTCTTCAACAAATACAGAGAAATTTGAAAATATACAATTACGCAGGAAATAGTTGTAAAATACAGGAGTCTTCAATAAAAAAAAAAAGGAGACTTGGCAGGTATGAATTTATCAACTTCATTAAATAAAGTAAAACAGCACTTAACATTTGAATGCCTAAGCTAACAATAAATTTAAGCATTCACATATTTAAAAACATTGCTTATCTAATTGTAATATCATAGCATGTTTTTTGTTTCACAATTCTTTTAAAAAAATTAAAACCAAATATAGCCTTAACAATAAAAAAAAATTTTTAAATCTAATAAAAAAATTTGTCATTTATGAGGTTTTTTCTCTTTTGTATCTACTGACTGAATACATTGTGCAGGAAAAAACACTAATTACTCTGAATAACTTTAGATCTAATGGTCGGATTTTCATTAAGAGACGTACGACAAATATGATAATTGGTTAGTGCAGACTTTATTTTCAGTAATGAAATCAAATACAAAAGTGTCTTTTCTCTGCATAAACATACCTTCCTTTAGATAGATTTGAATTTTTGAACCTTCAATCATGGGGGCTGCTTAAATTAGGAAAATATGCTTCCAATAGTTTGGTAATTAAATCAGGTGAAAGTTTGCACCACTTAATGTTAAGTTTACTTTGCGTATTGCACCATATCTTAAGTATTTATTACCCAAGTTGAAAATGCATCCTACGTGCATTATTTTATTATTATAATTCATTTTTACTAAACATGGGTTTATTATGACTGTTTTATAATACATAGAAAACTACTTTCTTTCATACATAAGTGTCCCAGGTATCTAATTTCCAAGGACAAAATTGAAATGCAATCTCATTAACTCTAAATTTTATTCATAAGAAAACATTTCTTCAATCGTCTAAACATTCATACAAAAAATGAAACTTTTTCTTGTTTTTACCTTTAATGAATTTAAATCTATAATGATTGATAAACTAAATATTGAGGGGAAATATATAGAATTCCAATTACTAAGAGCGACATATACCTACTGCTCCCCTTTGCCAAAGACGCCCATGATTTCACTGATTCTACAATGTTTTTTTTTTTCAATCTTAGAAGTGAACCTTATAAATTTTACAATATTTTGAGAAATGCTTATACTATCATATTTTACGGTTGAGAATTTCAATTTTAGAAAAAGTGACCATGGTTAAAAAGGCCACGACCGGTAACAATGATCAGTAACAAAATTTCCTAGTTTTACCCTACAGTTGATAATTACAGAGCATTAACATTTTCCAATTTTTAAAAAATTCACCAAATTTTACTAAATTATAACTCACCATGTGCTTCCATTTTTGTCATTATTTCCAAAAGCACTAAAAGAACCATCATTTCTTCTGTATGTCAACTCTCTTTGGTATCCTGAAAGTGTAATATTTAGATTCAGATAACATATACTCATTAGCATTTTAAAAATGAAGTTACAAGCTAGTATAATACATACCACTTTCCATAAAATTCAGTGATTTCTTCTGGATTGTAGGAGTCAATCTGTTAACTCGTTTTAAGTATTTAGTAATGACAATGTTCGGTACAAAATTCAACATATTTTGTTCACCACAGCCTTGAGGCATTCTAAGCAGTTTATCTAAATTATTAACAGTAGGACCTAACAAATCTCCTGCAACATAAAAATAATTATAATGTTATTAAATATGGCTATAATAATAAATATTTTAGACCACTTAATTTATTACACAATAAAACTTTTCAATCTACTTTTAAATTAGCACAGACTCATTAAGCTTGGAAAGCAATAATAAAGTTATAAAATGTTCTAGAAAGATACATTTTAGCATAAATTTAACCTAGTCTTAAGTGCTGAAAGATTTTTTCAATCCTCACATTTTAAAGCAGAGAGAGATACTATTTCATAATAATCAAAGAAAAAATATGATTTAAAAACATCCGAATAAAATCTTCTCAGGAGTTCCGTCACAGAATTAAAAGCACATTACACAAGAGAAAGGCAGAAAACTATTTCAAATAAATGTTTTATCCAAAATATTGCACGGTTATCATTATTAAAATATTTTGCGATTTTATCCAAAATTCAAAAGACAAATTTTGGACAAATGTTACTTGTAAATTTTTTTAAATTATTTTACATATTCTCTTAAAATTTGGAGCATAAAAATAGTCTGTATGATTGTGAAAGACTACAATTATAAATCTCTGCTTCTGAGTATCCCAAAAAAAGCAAAATTAAAATTTGAAAAAGATAGAAAGATTTTTATCTTTTATTAAAAAATTGTGTGGTAAATTTCAAATTACTCAAGTTATTATATTTCAATTTACTCAAGTTTTATTATACAAAAAAAAATATGCCCCCTCTAAAATCCTGCATACTTTTGAATATTTTTATAGGAAAAGTAATCAATCTGAACCAGTTTCACAATCTGGATTAAGAGTTCATAAAACAGTATGATCTCTAATTTTTATCATACATCAAATAATTATTTCATGTTAACATTCAACACATAAATGGCGAAACAAAAAGATATTACATTAATAAACACCACAAATGAAGAAACATTAAATAGTCAGGAACAGTACAGCATTTGCTACTGGAAACACTTTGAACTTAATAAAATTATTATTAGCATATAAGATTGTTTAAGTCATTTATAATTATATTAGGGACATTTTTACTGGAATACTTGTTCACCTGCATAAGGGAATTGCTTTTTGCAAAAGTTAAAAAATTTCAAGTTGGCCCTTTTCAGTTATTTTTGATGTGCTACTGCCATGTAGTAGTCAAAATTTAAAAAACATTTTTGGTGCCGGTACAGGTACAAAAAATCGACCAATTATACATATATTTAAGTAAATATATTTACCAATTGCAGAGAGAGATACTTTTCCCGATCCAGGCACAGCCTCTTCTGGTATAGAAATTTCAACAGTTTCCTCAAATTTCTTTGAATTGGTATCTCTCAAGTCCACCAAAATAGCCTTATTAAAGTATTGAGGAGCTCCTTCAGGCTAAAAACAAACATTTTTGTTTAAATTAACAAATATTTAAAATTTTTACCACTAAGCTTTAAAATTTCAAATTTTCTTTTGGTCTTCAATTTAAATACAGAAACTGTAGAGGTGAAAGTTAGAGTATGATATTATAATATACATGTACTTATTTGTTATAAATGTTATTTTTTATTTCAAGTTAGCAAACAAAAGTAATATTTTAGTAATATGGTTAAAATTTTTAATATTTTTGCAGCAACACACATTTTGATGTTTAGTTCAACAAATATTGAGAAGAAAAATATTCAACAGAAAAATGATCATGTTATTAAATTAAAACAATATAAAGTCATATTTTCCCATTTTAAAGTAATTAATCCTCAAATAAATCATCAATGTTTGATGATACCGTGAAAAAAATTTGCAACACAAACTTCAACAAAAAGTTTATAGTTTGAAATTATGCTCAAAATTTCCAGAAACAGCAAAATTATAGCATATCTGGTAAGAGAAGCCATTTGTAGACAAATTATAACTTGCTACAATTTTTTTCTTTATATATTTCTATCTATATTTATTATGTTAATATTTAAAATTTTAAAAAACTTTCTCATAAAAGACAAACAATGATTAATCATATAAAAAATGCAAACATAAAACATTAAAAAAATTAGAGGGTAGTTAAATATGTCAAACAATACACCTCAAACATATCCTTACTTTTACTAGAAGCTTCCTAACCACTGCATCACCAGCATTATTAGCAACAGCAGAAACTTTAATATCAATGTAACCAAGACTTTTTGGTGTAATTAAGAACATTACAGACACACCATCTTCAGCAGGTACCTGGAACAAAAAAATATTATAATGATGCACAAATTTCCAAATTTGCTTATAAGCACTTTGCAAATACAGTACAACAGAACATACCTCAACTGACTTTGACATCTTATCATAAGCCTCACCAATTTCATTTCCAGCTACTGTAAATTCGAAATCATCATTTTTATTTTCCAATGTAACAACAGCCTGTTTAAAAATAAAAAAAAGTCTGAGCCAAAAATGCAAAGGAAGCAAAATCTAACAATTAGTAAATTTATCCAATATCAATTTCATAAAGTTGTTCCAATAAATAAAAGTACATTTTCATGAAATAATTTAATGTAATAACTGTGACACATGGTGGCTCAGGTGATAGAGCGCTTGCCTCCCAATGAGGTGAGCTGGTTTGAATCCCAGTGATGGCTAGTTGATTTGAATTCTGCACCCAGGTCACACCAACCACAGTGCTGACGTAAAATAGCCTCAGTGGTAGATGGAACATAGATTAGCCCTTGCCCTTAGGTAGGAGGTTTTCGTGCTCTCCCTCTCTTTGTAACGCAAATGCGTGTTAGTTCCCTCAAAAAGTCCTCCGCGAAAGGCAAATTTCTCCCAATACTTGATCCAGGAGTTTCATTGTCTTCTATATTGAGTTCAAAATTACAAGGATACAGAGTTGAACATTAGTAGTTGTAAACTGAAAATTCGGTTGGCTGTTGAACGAGGGTAATAAAATTTAATAACTGAAGCTAAACTCTATATGACTTACTCCAAAAAAAGAGTAGGAAATTGATGGCTGGGGGATACTAAACTAAAATTTGCTAATTAAAACATCTTCTTTCAATATCTTGCAACAACCTATGTACTACATTAAAATACATTTCTCTGAAACACGAATTGCAAATATAACAATCAAATTATGTTTTTAAAAGTTACTATACTATCATATTTTTAAGAGAATGGAAATTACTTAAAGGAGGGAGAAAGATCAATAATGCATCTAAGAAACTCTAGTGCTTAACTGAATATCATTTTGATCAATCAAAAGTTGTTCTAATTAACTAAGTTTCACTACAAGCACAAATATACTAATAGCATAAAAGCAATGTGCGCATGGATTCTGTACTTTTTTCAGAATATTAACACCATGACTGTATTCAATGGATGTTGTGATTGGAGGAGGTCCATAAAATTTATTCCCTGCTTTGATTGACACAAAACATTTTTGCAATTATAATAAGTCTAAGTTTATATAAAGCCTTTAATATGCTTGTCAAATTATGTTTGTTTATATATATATATTAGTATTATATTCACACATAATGTACAAATATGAGGAGAAATCTAAAGCCACAATACAAGCAGATATTTGAAACTTACAATGTAAACTACATCTACTTTAGCAAATTTCTCCACATTTATGAACACAGATTATCACACATAAACTAAGATAAATAACTGCACTAAAAGCATATATACTGATAATTTAAAAATAAACAGCACATATATTTCTAGCACAAATACTGTAGTAATTACATTTTTAATGCAAATTTTATTTAAATTACATAAAAATCATATTAGAACTTCCATACTAGAGACACTGTTGCATTATAACAAATTTTTCTAAATTACCTTCATAGGTTTTTTGTTGTAGTTGAAAACAATGGCTTCTAAATACAATGATTCTCCTCTGACAACTGAGTATGGCAGGTTTAGTTTGACAAAAAATGGTCTAAACACAGTGACCTAGAAGAATCAATAAATATCAATATCCTAATATTTTTTTCAACATAATTTATAATAGCCTTACTTTGGTCAAATTTTTATTTAGTTTTGGATTAAATAAATAATTTATCAGTTTTTAAATGATAATGCTGATATGTAGAAAAAACTAATCACAATAAAGTTATAATTTTTTGCAATCATGTACTCTTATGATTGAAAATAAAAAAACCATTTTATCTTCTTTTTTTATCTTACTTAAAAATAGTTTTAGAGTTAAAAATTTTAAAATCACATAGTTTTACAACTTTTACTTTTTTTTTAGAAATTACAAAAAAGTATACCACTTAATATATTTATCCACTTTGTAACGAAAAAATATATAGATAAATGGATAAAATTCATATATCAAAAAAATTTTTTTACATCAATGGTAAAGAACATATAGAGTTGTTTACACTGAAAAAATATTTTTCAGTAATAGAAAGAAGAAAAAAATTTTATTACATTTTTGTTTGGTTAATAAAAAAGTAATAAATTTTTCCTTTTTTTTTAAATGAAATAAGTTTTTTGGGATTATAAAAAATTTCATTTCATTTAATAACAATAGAATAAAATGCCTAGTCCAAAAAAAAAATTCATTTGATCAGTATTTGCAATTTACTTAAAAACAATTTTCAAAAAAAAAAACAAATTATGTTAGTTAAAAAATTTTTCCAAGTTCTAGATGTTTTTTAAGTTTTTTTCTGAGTAAAGATAAATAATCAGTAGAAACTATAGCTTCCATTTAATTACAAAACTTCTGTTTATTTTGTACGTCTTTTAAAACTAAATTTATAATTAAAATTTCAATAAATATGCTAAGAAAGTACACAATAGGAAAAACTTTTAAAAACAAACTAAACAGCTAACCAGGTACCAGAATTATTTTCAAATCCCGTATAATGGCTACAAAAATTAATATCTAACAAGATGTGGTATTAAGTTGAAAATATATACCTTTGCAGTATCTGGTGCAATTCCTAAACCATTAACAGGATCCATAGCAAAAGCACTGATTACCCATGATGTGATGGTGTCTGGGATATTCTTCACAAGTGATAATTTGCCATCATTTCTAAGAAAGAAAGAAAAAGACAAATAGAGTAAATATTGAAAGCTGAGGTGTGTTCCTTAGTGAAATACTTCCCAAAAATAGCATTTATTTCTGCACATTTTGGAAGTACATATCACAGATTATTCTAACCAGATGTTCTAGTGCGATACTAAAAATAACAATTGCTTCAAATTTTAATATTCTTAAAACAAATTTCGTAAACCAGAAAACACGATTCTAAACCAGTTTAATAGATTTACGAAGTTTATACACAAAAATGTTAAAATTTAAAAACAAATTTTTGAAATTAAGTTTAAATAGGTACAAACGAAATGAACATGCATTCAATAATTTACAGTTTAAAAAATTACAATTAAGTATAAAACTAACCCAGCAGGCAAGAGATCCCATATCCAAGTTTCAGGGAAATGTTTTCGAACTCTCGGTTTAGATCCTTTTCCATTGCCATGATCATAAAGCATTGTGTCAACAGCATTTAACTCATCTTCTATTGCTCCTGAATAAGATCTGTACATAACTGAAATTCAAAAGTTTTTAAGTTATACAATGAAAATAGGAGTAAAAAAATTAAGATTAATTCTTTATAAACCAGAAAGTTATTTCCTCAAAACATGAAGGCATAAACTATGTATTACAAAAAGTTTAAAATAAATATTTTAAATAAACACAAAATTTTTTTTAAAGTTTAGAATATTTACATTAATTGCTAAAAGTAAACAAAAAAAATAACAGAACTATTAACAAAAACTATTGGGTTATAAAACATAAGAAATATTTCAAATGGAGGATAGGTTTTCAGCCAAATACAAATCTACATTTTTAGTATTTCTATTTGTGCAGTACACCTTTTGATAATTATTTTTCTGCATTTTTGAAATACTCAAAAATATAAGCTCTAGATGATACAGCACACACATGGCTGTCATTGGAGTAGTCTTTAATATCATAAAATCCTTTATTTTATTTTTTTTTTTAAATCTGAGCATTAACAAACAATATTTTTGGTTTAATAGCATGTCTACTTTTACCTTTTACAAAACTACTTACTACCTTTTACAAAATTTTTGAGAAATAATGCTGTGAACGATATATATTTCCAAGAAACAAATTTAATGTCATTCGATGAAAACAAATACTCACTTAATTGGATGTAGCGGTATACAAGACCATTAGTCAAAACTACAACACCAGAGTCCTAAACAAAATAAAAAGCATTAAAACTCCATACTACACATACATATTAATTTTAAAACAAAACTGATTGGAAATGTCAAAGTACAAAATAAGTAGTTTGTTCCAAGCATAAAAAATTTAAGATTTTAATGCTTTTATGTATTAGCAATAGTGATAATATACAAGCATACAAACATTAATTACTTACATTTTTAAACATGGAAGTTAATAGAAGTAAATTTCTTTCATGTTTTATAAGCATGTATTACAAATCAATGTAGTTACAGAGGATTGAATAAACATAACATAATTCATGATAATAATTAAAAAATATGTGCATTACCTAACACCTTAATAAAATTCTTAACCATTTAAGCTTCAGTTTAAGATTTTTCCAAACTTAAAGCTGATTACATCTCAACAACAAAAACAAGTTTCTCTTTGAATTAATCAATGATAAAGTAACATTCTGCGCAATATCATACTGAATCATCTATAAAAAAATATTTCAAGTTTTGAAATAAAATAACTGATGTAAAAATAAATTTTGAAAAATAGTACAAATATACTACAGACTAAAATTTTAATTTAAAATTAGATAAAGTACATTAAAAATAGAGAAAAGTAAAAAAAAAATAATAATACTTACATCAAATACATCATGAGCAGTTGCAGATCCAGGCCACCACAAAGATCTCTTTTTGCGATAATATGGACCATATTGATACCTCTTTTTTCCTCCATCATAGGTTTCTAATTCAGTAATGACCTAAAAAAATTTTTGAATTATAATAAATATTAATGTTCAACATATTGATACATCAAACACAGAAACCTCAAAAATATAAAGATTCACAAAATTTAAGATCTTGTCGAAACAAACCATACCAAATATGGGACAGTTGCCACAGGCCTTTAAATTTTTAAGGAAAAAAATGTTCTGTGAACAGGTTTTAAATTTTAGAGCTGTTTTTTAAAAAAAATTTACTTAAATATCACTTAATATATTCTAATAAGCTTTTATTATAAGAATTTATTTAGTCAAATACTATATTTCAGCATTTGAAGTTTTATATTTTAAAACACAATTAGAGCACCAAAAATAATAAAGTAAAAAATTCATAACACTAATATCAAATATGAAGAAATTTATGCTTACATCATTCTGAGTAATGTCATTGCCAGATTTGAGTAATAAAACACTTTGGTCAATTCCAAGGAGACCAACAAGGGCATTTGGTTTAGTTGCAACAGTCACATTGACTGGAGCACCAGGCTTTGTTTCTTTAACATTAGTATTGATACTGACCTATGAAAAAAAATTATTAAATTTAATAAACTATTCTCAAAATGAATTTTTTTAAATCATAAATTAATGCATAAACTTACCGGAGTTCTGAATGTTCCAGATACATCAAAATTCACAGCATCAGCGACAATTTCATTATTTTCAGGTCTAACATAAAAAACAACAATCCTTGCTTTGGGCGCCATTTTGTGAGTAACAGGTATGTAGAATCTGTAGGTTTTAACATTAGGAACATCAATAGCACCAGCCAACACAATGTCTCCACGTCCTAAAACCTATATTTAAAAATTTAACTTCAAAATTAATAAAGCATTTTTTTAAAAGATAATCTAATTTTTTAAATATTTTCTTTGAACATGCTTAGGAATACTGTAATAATTTCTGTGAGAAAGAAAGAACCCTCACAACTCAGTTTAATTAACTCTGATAGTTTTATAAATAATTTTTTTCAAATTAGTAAAACCATGTCTCCACCTAAAAAAATATTCTTAAATAATCAGATCTGGGAATAATAGAATTTCCAGAGATTAATTTTTAAACCTTTTTCTCGATATGCTAGATTAGACTGAACAAATTCCAGCAATAAACTAATTGTTTTGTTATACCACTAGCCAATACCAGCAAACTATTTAATTCAAAGGGGTGCACTTCTTAATCTTAGTTTCCAGTGATGCTATCTATGGACAAGAACACATACATCACAGCCAGTTTTACAGGGAGGACTCATTCACAAGCGAATCATCCAAGCAAACTCTGGTAACTATTAATAATACTTATTAAATAAAAATATGAAATTGGGATTTTTTTAAAAAGTTCTTTAACTTTTAATTTGTCGCACAAGACTGCAGCACAAACATTTAGGAGTCAACAAAACAAAATTAGATAACCATTAAAATTACCTCATATACAAGTTGAGATAAAGGTTCCGTAGCATTCACTTCCAACTCAACTTCTTTATCAACAGTTGGGTTTTCAGTTCTCAACAGCACTTGAATGAAGCTGTTACTTGGTGACATTGCTGCTTCAACATTATCAAGATTGTAATCGAATCCTCTAAATTCAGCATTCATGCTTAAGGAAGATGCATTGGTGTTGACGGGGGGATAGAAATCCACACTAAGCAAACCATTGTTGGGCACTGCAATTCGACGAGAGTCCCACTGGCGCTCATCATAAGTGTATCCATATTTCAACACAATTTGATCACCGTTTGTAACCACAACAGGAGTATCATCTTGATAGCATACTTTAAGCTAGAAAATTAAGCCATCATAAGTCATAATAAAATGGATAGTTTATTATCACAAAATTCATTAATTACTGAATTTAAATTAAAATTTTTTACTTAAAGGCAGAAAAATTTCAATTGACAAATTAATATTATCAAAACAATTATCCACATGCATCTACATATAACAAACTAATCTTCTGAGTTAAAAATTGCTTAAAATGCAGAATATGTAAAAAATATATATAACTATTTAATGCAGGAATACCTATTGACGAAATGTAGTAATCACAGTAAGTTTGAGCATCAACATTTGAGCATTTATGCTATTTTATTAACTTACTGTGTCAATGTTTATGCTGCTAAATACGAAAAACCCTGCTTATTTCATTTAAAAAATTATTCTGCACATAATAAAAAAGCAACTGGTTTAACAATGTAGTTTATCACTATAGCCGTGTAAAAGATTAGAGCAAATATTAATAAACATGTTTCAAATTTACATTTCGTTAATAAGAAAACAATGTGCTACAAAAAACATGAATCACTTTAAAGGAGATTTTAAAAAAATGGATATACACACTTGTAGGTATAAAATTTTAAAAATTATCAATACAAAAAAAAAAGGAATTAAACCAAAACATAAAATAAGCAAATCTTACATGTGCAGTATATTTCAAGCCTGGTTTGAAAGATTCTGAAGATTTCACCATTTCTACTTTAATATCTCTGTCATATACTTTAAGTATATTTGTGGCATTATATTTTCGTTTAGTTAAATATTCTTCTACTTCAGCAATCACATCAATTTCTAAAGCCATTGTATCTTCCTTCAAACCTAAATCACGGGCTAAATTTATTGGAATGTCCACAGAACCATCAATCTGAAACATAGATATTAATTTAAATATTAAATTTGTATATAATGGAATTGTTTTATAATAAAATTAACAGTTAAAACATCTGTAATTTTTGTTTAAATGAAACATTTATAAAGACATTTGCATTATAAAAATCTCCAAAACAGTTATGGCTAATTTAATTTAGGATTTTAATAAACTAAAGAATAAAGAAAGAATAGAACTTCTTACTGTTTACAAAACAAAAATTTGAACGAAACAAAAGAGATGCAGCAAGATGCATAAAACATAATAAACGAAGCTGATACGTAATACGTTATGTCAACTGAATGCTCGATTTTCAACAATTTGCAATACTAACAAACACCAGAAAAAACAAGAAAAACTTATATTTTAAGCATTATAAATTGTCAGGGCAACAGACAACTGCATGAAGACAAAATGCTGTGAAGACTGTTGCCAAATCACTCGCATGGTTTATGAAAAGAATATACATATCGTTTTCATCCTTGTATAATAATGTATATAGGAAAATTTCTCGCTAAAATTTTCCAAGTAACAATTAAAATGTTGGGACAATGATGAAGTAAGTTATTAATGTAATAGAGACATAATTTATACAAATATCTTTTGAATAAATAGATAATTTCAACTTAGATAGAGTACTAAAATAACAAAAATAAAATATTAACCTCTAGATGATTTTAAGTTTCTGAGGTAAGTTTGCAACAAAAAACTTTAATATGGGTATATTATTCAAAATAATGAATACATTTTATCCCTTACAAGATGAACTATTTGATTAGAATCGCATAAAATTAACTAGCTGTTAAAAATAACTAAGAACAAATTCTCAGACCATCAACTACAGAATGAAGCGTTTATAAAGACAATATGTACTAAAAATTCGCTCTGCACTAATAACATTATCAACACAGTGAGAGAAACTTCAGAGATAGAATATCTGCAAATTTAATTTTCAGAATCCCAGTGAAATAATTTAGACAGTTTAATATAAGATTCACCTCAGCTTCAGTTACAGCAGGCTTATTTTCATTTGCTAAGTATCCAAATCTCAAGGAAGGCTTGACAAGAAGTTTGACATGGCCTTTTACAGGTTTTCCGTATGTGTACCTGAATAAGATAAAATAAAACATTATGGAAGAGAATTAATCTAATTTGTAAAATTGTATGTTTTATGATTCATATGAATCCTAACTCATGCCTGATTGTATGGGAACTAGTTCTTAAAAATAATACTCACTTTGCAGATACAGTTGCAACAAAATCTGGTTTATTGTAAGTAACATAAGGTGGTAGGGCAATTTGAACTTCAAAATTGGGTAAGACTAAAAAAATATATAAAAAATAATGTATAGAAAATATATTTAAATATATAAAAATTAATATATAAAAATATATTCAAATATATAACAATTAGTATATAAAAATTAATATATAAAAATATATAAAAAATACATAAAAACTAATATATTTTTAACACAAACATAATTTAAGATATATGTACTTATTTCTTATGAAGATGCAGTAACATATCTAAAATTTAGAAACAGCAATTGAAACAGTTTATGTAAACAAACTACAATCATTTTTATTTATGTAATTTTGTATATGTTAGCTAAAACTTTAACATCCTAAAGACTTGCTTTTAAAACAAAAAATACTTAAAAAGATTGTTAGATTAATCTCTAAATATGACATCGAGTTATATCTTTAACTATTATGACCATTACTTTTTATTTTCACGAAAATGTAATTATACATCACATTGGTTAATCAAAACAGCTTTTATCACAATTATACATTACGGTTACAATACCTATTTAGCATATACATACACAGAGAAAATGAAATAAATTTTAAAAAATTCAATAATTTACTCTTATCTATACTAACAGAAATACTTTAAACATAGTGAAGTTTTAAAATAATTGTAAAAAACACAAATTAGTAATTTACTAATTTTGCTAATGAAGTGAAAATATTACATAAGCTAAATTAATAAATTTCCAATTGAGATTTTTCTAATAAATTATTAAAATTATACATGAATTTCAAGTAAAAAATGGGTTAGAAAAATCAATTATAATACATTCAGGCAAAATCAAATCATTAAATAACAGATTGAATACAGAATTTAAATTTCATAAGATCAAGATAAGATAGGGATATATAGGCAAATTAGTTCAAGAAAAAAATACTTATAGCATTGATAAGTAATAACAGAAGAATAGAGAAAAGCTCAACAGGGCGCTATAGGTTCATGGTAATTTACCAAAATATATAAGCCCCTTGAAGAGATATAAAGATAATTGCAATAATTATACAGAGAATTGAAATATGAAAGATTTCCTGAAATGTGGAATTATAAGTGCATTTTTAATAGCTTAAACTATGCAAACTAGAAAATTGCCAAAAGTTTCTATCAGACTCAATATTTGTTTCAAGTTAAACATTTCTCATGAAGAAATAATATAAGACTTCATTATAAACAACAACAAAAAAAACAAAAAAAAATTACCATATTCAGCCACTGTGAAAGTTTTCTTAAACATTTGACCCTAAAATATAAATAAATTCATTTAGAAAAAATATATTATGAAGTTATCAAAATAAAAATCTTAATATTTTACTTACCAAAATGTCGACATTAATAGTCCAATCTCCTAAAACTGGTTGATCAGATAACAATAACTCAGCCGATGCAATACCTGTTTAAAGTTTAAAACAACTCTAAATTACTTCAATACATTTTTCAGTGCCACATATAAACAAATATTTTATAAATTAATACCTTTTGTGGTAAAAACTTTTCCCCATTGTTTTATTCTATTACCACTTGCATCCTGAAATACATTAATTGTAATGAATACATTAATACAAAATAAATTTAAAATTAAAATGTTATAAAAATAATTTGAACAAAAAAAATCATTTCAATTTCCAAGATGATTTAAAAGTTAAAATTTTTTGTTAGGATTAGCTCATTTGTTTAGATTTATCAATAGGAAATGTGATTTCATATTGATATGATGTTAATGAAAAATTTAAATCACTTAATTGATTTTAGCATGAATAAAGAACGTTAATATAAAAAATTGTAAGTTTAACTGACTTGATTGAACTATATTTTTTAGCACTGTTACTCAAAATCTATTAAAGATCAAACTATCTTTTTATTTAAATGTGTCTATTACAGAGATTTAGAAATAATATTTTCATGTATGCATGTATCAAAATAGTGTAACTTGCTAAAGAAAAAAAAAAGAATAATATCATAAAAATCTGTATATTGGAAGCATTTTTTTTAAAAAATGGAAGCTTTATAAACATAGACAAGTTAAAAATAATCTTTTAAAAATAGATTGATAATTATAGATTTAATAGTTTTAAGCTGCGTGTCCACAAAACAAATGAACACAATTAGTTTTTAAATTACTAAAAAGTATAAAAAACAAATAGTATAGTAAATTATTACTTTTAATAAACAGTTATACTCACAGTAATATACATGTTTATTGCACCAGTTACAGAAGGCAAAAGATGTGGATTAACAACAAGCACTCTGAATTGCACTGAAAATAAAGTAAATTTCTGTAAATTAAACTATTTCATCAACTAGATTAATATAATTCATTAATTTACAACATAAATTCAGGATATAGCACTTAGTGCAAAAGAATTTGAGTTTTACCTAATTGTCCAGGCTTGTAAATGGCTTTGTCTGTTTGAATGAAGACAGAATAGCTTTTATGTTCATAAGTCAAGACTGTTTGATTTCTGAATTTTAGTCCACCATCGCCTTCCACAATTAGACTGTAATTTCCAGAGCTCCATTCACCAATCTAATGGAAAAGGAAGAATGAGGTGATTTTTTTCTTCTAAACCCCAGTACATTAAAGACAGCCAGTACAATCATTGGGAAAGGGTTTTCAAAGTGGTAGTAAATTAATAGTAAAAGAAAGAAAAAATTTATAAAAAAGTTGTTATTTTGCCATTAATTAAAATAATAACTGCTTGATCCTTTTAATCATAACTACGAATATGCTTAAATTATTGATCAATAATTTTTTAAAAAAACTTAAATAACTAAGATTTATAAATCAAAGCAAATGTTCCCTAGGAAGCATTTTGGCAGCATCACAAATGGATAAGAAAATATGAAAATTAGAAGTATTTTACAAATATATAATGACACTTTAATTTTATAAACAATCATTTCTAATAGAAAAAAATTAGAAACACTCAAGCATTAATTTGAGCAAGACGTTTTATATTGATCAATATTCATTTTAGATTTATCTTTATACTTTTTTTTTAATAAAAATTCTCATTTTAGAAGTTTATGCAACAAAAGCCTTTAACTTAAATAGTGAAAATGGGATCAACTATATTAAAATAAAATCTATTAATAATGTATCTGTATCTAACTTTTAAAAATTAAGACTTTTCAAATTAAGTCTTAAAAATTAAGTAAAGTATAAAATATTTAACTTTTAAAAATTAAGATAACGATTTAAAATTTAAATTAAAATATATCTCAGAATATTTGAGCTGATCGTTTTTATATGTAAATTGCAAATTTATTTTAGTTTTTAAATGCAAATTATAGCTACAAGTTATTAACTAAGCACTTACCTCAAAATTCAGGATCTGTGTTTCACCTATTAAAAAAAAAAAAAGATTTGAAATTATTTTAACATGTTTCTAACTGAATATAAACAATATAAAAAATTTCCAACTTAATATATCAAGACACCAATTACTGACTTTAAAAATAGTAAAATGCCAATTACTAGCTTTAAAAAATTGGATGATACCAAGTAATGGCTTCAAAGTTATATTTACAAATATGCTGAGTAAAAAACTGAAAATCACATTTATGAACAGTTTCTTATAATTTGTTTGACATCAAGCTGTTATAGCGTATGATCTTGTAAGTCTAGGTTCAGTTGAACCTTGAAATAAAAGAATCTGAGAAAAATAAAAGTTTACCAACTCACCAGAATTTAGAGTAATTTGTTTTCCTATTGTGTTGTATTGGCCATTATCAGCTGGTCCTTCGATTGTAATTTTCAAATCTAGTGGTGCAGGAAGATTATGGACAGACGCACTCACATGGAAAGGAATATTTGGTCGCAGCTTTGCAGGTGCTATCACAGTATAGACAGCTGAAGACAGGGGAGCTACTGTCGTACTACTTTAAAGGGAAAAAATGAAAATTTTAACAACAAAGCAAACAATACCTATAGTCTATATTTTTCATTGAATCAATTACCAACTTCACACAATTTTTAAGAAGGTATTTGCAGCTTCTGAGCCTGCAATCATAAAATCAAACGATATTAAATTTTGCTTAAAGCTTCTGTACTATAAATCTGAAAACTTATAAAAACTGATTAGGCATAAAAAAAAAATATGCCTTGAAGAGGATTGTGAAATACAATATCACAGTGAATCAAGCCTATGATAGCATTCATTTGAAAAATTAACAATTAAAAAGGCTTTGAATAAACTATCGATTGCCACCAAGACCACAATACGTTTATATCATTTAAACGTTTAAAAGCTTTAAAATAGTCAAAGCTTTAACATTTTACGATATTAATGGATTAAATTATTTTACATTTATATCTGCAAAGATAGGAAACTTATTAAAAAGTTTGATGCCACCATGACGACAGAAACAGCCCTGCAAGATTCAGTGATGTATGTAGTGATTATAGCACATTTTCACTTCTGGAACGAATATCGTTAAGAATTTCCTAAATAATTTACGAATTATCAATAATGCAACCAAATAGTGGCATAATTAGATGGAATTTTCAGGCTTTGTTATTTTATAAAATCTCCCGGATAAGAATTTCAAGTAATTTCTTTAAGTATTTTCAACGACAAGCGATAAAAGTAATCATTTTTGTAAATTTGTTTGCAATATTAATAAAATAAATAAAAAAGAAACTATTTCTCCATCGCAAGTATTTGTCCCGTAAATGTGCGACACAACATTAGGGCGCAATTAAAAAATTAAAACGCAAAATTAAATTCACGCTTTTCTTCGGCAGGATGAAACAATTTTTCAGAATTTTTAATTTAACTTTTAATATTGGAATTATTTACTCATCTATATTTTTTAATACTTACTCTATCTAATTTACATCTAACGTAATTTATCAATAATTAACACTAGAAAAACTAAAACTTAGTATATACCTACATCGAACAAAAGCAGTCAAAATGACTGCATTGTGAAAGAATAACTAAAGTGTAAAAAAAAAAATTTTAATTTTTAATATTTTTTATATTATTTTCAATTATATAACAACTTATTAGTAAATATTAACAACAACAAAAATTTACTTCACTTGGAAAGAAAATATTATTTTATGCATTATTATTTGTACATTTTTTGCAAATGAAAAAAACAGTTAAAAAGCACTCAAAATGACTTCCTTTAGGTAACCTAGTGCTAACCACTTATAAGTCCTTAATTACAGACAAATAGGAATTAACTCACCTTTGTCCTTCCGTAAACGCTAATAGGGCACTAAGTGCCCATATCACTCCAAGCATTTTTTCCTAAAAAAAAAAAAAAAAAAAAAAAAAAAAAAAAAAAAAAAAAAACACAATTTTAGTCTAAGTGACACAAATACAACACAAAATACATCAAAATAAAATTTGCATTTTAAAAAAAGTTATTCTATCACGAAATTAAATGAAAGGCAATATATTCTTTTCGAATTTCAAGTTCTAATTAACCCACATATTTAGAATCAAGTTCGTTAAAAAAATTGGAACGGAAATAGATTTACAACAAGTCCAGAACCCCAAGGAGTTAGGCTGATTTAAGTTCAAAATTACCTAAGCAAAAATAGCTTTACCGCAAAATCAAATCACCTCTACTATTGACACTATGAAATCCCGAATTAACTAAAAATATTCGAATAATCAACTAAATATTTAACGACCTAATACTTAGTTTCAAATTTAGTTAAAGACTTCATTTAAAATTAACTGTAGTATTGCAGTTAGTGATTGTTTTATCTTAAGGCATGATAAGGCGTTTATTCTTAAGGCATTACTTTAAAACTTATGTTTAAACAGAAGCGCACCTACATAAAAATATTTTAATTGCTTAATAGATAAAACTTTAGAACACTTATATTATGCGCAGAAAATGGTCATTGAAAACTTCAACAAAAGAGCACGAGTCTGCAAAACTTCAGAAACAATTTATTCGATATGATATTCTATAAACATAAACCATCTGTATACTTTGTATACTTCATAACTTAAAAGAAATTCCCAAAATTTTGTTTTATTTAAAATTTTATTTTTATATCCTGCGAGGATTCCAGGACATCTTACACTTGCATTGATTTTTTTTGTTTTTTTAAAAGTAGTTTATGATTTTTATAACAAATTTTACATTCTAAATCTGCTATAGTTCATTAAGGGATATGCAGGTACTTGATTCATACTAGAACAGAAACTTTCTCTTACTTGTAGCATTAAAAAATTAACATGTTTGGAAAAATTTAACACGTCTACTTTTTACGAAATAATAGATCTGTGAAATTGCAGAAGTTAAAACAGTTATTTACACTCTGTCATTGTAATAGAAAATAGAAGCTCACAGATAAATCCTGGACGTACACAGAATATTTTCTTTAATATAAAACTACTAAAAATATTTAAGTTAATAGTTTCAAAATAGCTAAGAAGTTCTTAAGTAATCAATAATAATACAATGAATTTTTAACTTCGATGCTTTTCGAATTCTGTTAAGAGGGTTAAAAGTGAAGCCTAATCAAACTATTTATCAAAGGTGTGTTTATAACTTATGAGCAAATGTTAAGTCAACGACCTGTTACCCTTGTCAACAGATGCTGCAAAAAGAAAGCAAAACCAAAACAACTGCGGACCCTCGAGGCAAATGACAAAAAAGAATAATTTTCCGCTTTTGCCGAACATCACGTCCAGCTTGGGGGCTGAAAGGCCAGGTAATCACGTGTTTGCGAAAGGGAATCCTGTATATGCTTACCTTTACAAACACTTCTCAATGAATATGCACGCCTGAACTTTTGACCATGCCATTGCAACATTCCATTCATATTTCGGATAAGCGGCAATGAAAATAATTGCAAAGAGCTTGAATCATATAATTAAAAGGAAAGGAATGAAACAGTATGAGTATCCCATGCCTCTGAGGAAATACATGGAATGTTAAAATAATTCAAAGCAAGCACAGCTCCAACCAAACTGTACAATAATTTATTGCCCAAAAATTGTATAGATATCTTGCTCTTGTTTATTTAACAATAGCTTAAAATTATTAATACAGTGAACTCTCACTTATGCACCGGTGTAAGGGGCCCAAGAGAAAAAAGCGCATAAGTGAAAGAGGCGCATAAGTGAAAAACTTCAAAATTCTAAAACGTAACGTAAATTGCAGCGACAATATAAATAAATATGTTTCTGAAGATTAAATGTTAATATTTATACTGTTTTGGTATTTACTATAATTATACAAAGAAAAAAATTTAACATACCTTAAGACAATTTATTTTCTTACAAAATAATCTTAATACATGTTTGTATTTGTGTTTGCAGATGTTATTCAAAAACAGTTTTTTCCTGTTCATATAAATGGGATAAGGGGGAGTTTCAGAAGCAAAATTAAATTGTAAATGGTTAAGAATAGCGTCTAAAGCTTTCAATACTGCTGTGTGATTTGGAGGAACTTTATCATCTCGTCAGTATCATCCACCACGTACTCATCGTTCACAAGTTTTAGTTAGATATAAATGAACAGTTCTTCACAAAAAAATTTGAGTTTTATGGGAGGGGGTGAAACATCACTTATGAAGTNATCTTTCGTATTCCAGGTGTTTTTTTTTTAGAAAACAGCATGGGAGTAAAACTAACCTCTGGACAAGAGGAATGGTCATTTTTTAAAAGATGAATGGGCTTTCATTGTTGTTGGTGTAACAGATAAGACACCCTATTCAAAATTCTAGAAAGAATGTCTTTCCAGAAACAGCAAAAAAGAAAAGGTCACAGGGGGAAGCAAAATTTAATAGGATCTAACATATATTTCTTTTTATCTGTAACAAGGATTGCTTATTTGTTTCATTTTTAATTTAAAACATTTTTTTTTTAAAAAAATATATTTAAAGGATTAAAAAAATAAAATTTTAGCCTAAAATTTCGGCTCATAATTGAAAAATTTATTTTTAGAGCGACGCATAAACGAAGGATGTTTTTTTTTTTATATCATTTGCAACCTGTGCACATAATTTTAAAGAATTACCACAAACTTAGTGTTCTATATATAATCCAGATAAAATAAAAATACCACAATTTAAATAATTGTTTTGGAAACAGCGATTAAAATTGTATCCACAAAGCAAATGCTTAAAAAAAATAAAAGAAAAAAAATTACAACGGCGGAAAATAAAATTAATAATTTGGAAATAAAATGAAATCGTGAAATGGTGTTCAAGAAATAGTTCTAGAATACAATTCACAATAAACTTGGTTGACGTCAGAGACCGGTCATATTAACCGTAACGCCCACAACGAAGCCAAGATTTAGTTAAATATTCAATTGATATTCAACATACGCAATCTCGATGTTACGAAACATTAAAAAAAATATATTACCTGCAAATAAAAACCTGCTTTCATAGCAAAGAATAAAAGCGTAACTGTGACTGCATCCATAAACACTTAAAAGTGCTGCAGAGCTTGGCGAAACAAATTAGGCTTTTTACAATTTGAAACGAAAAAACGTTAAAAGAAAAACCAGAAGTCCAGACTTGTGAAATTTCTTTTTTTTTCCTCGAAATGTTGAGTTAAAACGAAAAAATTTACAAGCTCGTTAGACTGAAGCGGGAATGAGGCATTTCGAAATTTTAACTTGTTTTAATTTCGCTTTAACTAGTTCGGTCAATAAATTTTGAAAGTATTCTACAAATTTAGAGAACATCTATTTATTAAAAACTTAACTATTTAAAGATTTCTACTTCTATTGAAGAATAGTTTTAAAAAATGCTAGAAATGCTAAGAAGTTAAATTTTGCGGAGAAAAATTTTGCACGCCATAGAATTTTACAAAATGGTAAATGGAATAAAATTTTTTTACCTGTGCTCTTATTAAAATATATAGATAAACTAAAAATTGGACATTAACGTTCCATATCACTTACAGTAAAAAAATAAAAAATAATAAAAGTTTAAAAAAAACTAACGATTAAATTTTTAAAAAAATACTGAAATGAAACAGTGATCATTATTTAAAGATTATTTTAACCCCAATGAATGTTCAGTTTACAAAACATTCCTGTAACAGACAAGTGAGTTTCGCTAATTCGAGACTTTACATTTTAACAAAGATATTAAATGTTAAGCTGTATAACTTATCCATATTTAAACTAAGATTCAAAAGTAGTCCTAAGATAAGAGTGAAAAGATTTCTTGAAACTGCACGAATTTGAAATAAAGGAAACATAAAAATCGCTTACAGAGAAAGACATGTATAAGTTCAACGACATATGGTCATTTTAAACTCTTTCATGAATTTCGATAAGGTAAGAAACTTGAAAATGTTTTTAAAAAAAAGTATTACGGAACTAAGATCAATTTGAGAAGAAAGCAGCCTTATTTAAGAAATAAAATGTGCGAAAATTAAATGTTTTATAATTGACTTCAAAATTTATCACAACTTCGAAAAAATATTGTTGTACAGCCATTTTTTTATATTGAATTTATTATATTTATTTATTTATTCAGTAGTTCTCAACTAAACTCAATATCTAAGCAGTGGATTACTTTACCATTTCCATGGTATGCACGGACCATTAAAATTTAAAAATATGATGTCCTGACGGCTTGCCAAGAAGCCAATTTTCTCAAAATTCCTTATTTAAAGAAGGGGGTAGATGCCCTTAAAACATTTTTAAAGAAACAAAATAAAATAAATAAAAAGTTAATTATGTACATAAATATTTTCTTTAAAAAAAGGACATAACTAAAAATATTTTAAAATAGGAATATGAAAAACACACTTTGTGCCACACATTTAGTGAGTCCAATTAGCAGGATTTTTAATTTAGGAGTTCGAGAGGAAAATTATTTTAAAATATTCACAAACCACGTGCTTTTTCCCAAAAATATATTTAAAATTTTAATATTAAAATGCGTTTTATTGAGGGAAAGGTTTACTTATTAAGTATCTGAAACAAGCGATTTTTAACATTTAAAACCTCATTCTTAGGTTTTCATTTTCAAGCTTATTTTGGTGAAAACCTTGTATTTTACACGAGTTTAAGTTACTGGCGAGAACATAAATATCCAGCAACAGTTCATTTGCAAAAAATAAAGACAGATCTGCCAACACGGAAGTTACTCTTCTCAACATTTCCGCTGTGGGGTAAATTACAATTAGGTGTGCAAACGGGTTAAAAAATTTCGCCAGCACTTAAAACACATCAAAGCATACTTTTTATGTACCACATAACCATTTAAATGTCGTGGTAATCAACTAATTCAAATTTTAAATCATTAAATCACAAAAAT